GAATTTTTCGATAATTTTAGATTTTTTACCAAAGAGTCGAGACTATTAAATAAGTAAAGTATTTTTCAAAAGCACAAAAATAATGAAGCTAAATCCTATAAAAGAGAGGAAAAAATGTTGAATTTTAAGAAAAACGTATTTTGAAATTTTTCGAATTTTGATAATTTTTAGATTTTTTACCAAAGAGTAGAGACAATTTAATAAGTAAAGTATTTTTCAAAAGCACAAAATAATGAAGCTAAATCCATAAAAGAGAGGAAAAAATGTTGAATTTTAAGAAAATCGGATTTTTGAATTTTTCGAATTTTTGATAATTTTAGATTTTTTACCAAAGAGTCGAGACAATTTAATAAGTAAAGTATTTTCCATAAGCACAAAAATAATGAAGCTAAATCCCATAAAAGAGAGGAAAAAATGTTGAATTTTTAGAAATTCGGATTTTGAATTTTTGATAATTTTCGATAATTTTAGATTTTTTACCAAAGAGTCGAGACAATTTAATAAGTAAAGTATTTTTCAAAAGCACAAAAATAATGAATCTAAATCCCATAAAAGAGAAGAAAAAATGTCGAATTTTAAGAAAATCGGATTTTTGAATTTTATCGAATTTTTGATAATTTTAGATTTTTTACCAAAGAGTAGAGACAATTTAATAAGTAAAGTATTTTCCATAAGCAAAAAATTATGAAGCTAAATCCCATAAAAGAGAGGAAAAAATGTTGAATTTTTAGAAATTCGGATTTTTGAATTTTTGATAATTTTCGATAATTTTAGATTTTTTACCAAAGAGTCGAGACAATTTAATAAGTAAAGTATTTTTCAAAAGCACAAAAATAATGAAGCTAAATCCTATAAAAGAGAGGAAAAAATGTTGAATTTTAAGAAAAACGTTTTTTGAAATTTTTGATAATTTTAGATTTTTTACCAAAGAGTCGAGACTATTAAATAAGTAAAGCATTTTCTAAAAGCACAAAAATAATGAAGCTAAATCCCATAAATGAGAAGAAAAAATATTGAATTTTAAGAAAATCGGATTTTTGAATTTTTCGAATTTTTGATAATTTTAGAATTTTTTACCAAAGAGTCGAGAATATTAAATAAGTAAAGTATTTTCCAAAAGCACAAAATTATGAAGCTAAATCCTATAAAAGAGAGGAAAAAATGTTGAATTTTAAGAAAAACGTATTTTTGAAATTTTTCGAATTTTTGATAATTTTAGATTTTTTACCAAAGAGTCGAGACTATTAAATAAGTAAAGCATTTTCTAAAAGCACAAAAATAATGAAGCTAAATCCCATAAAAGAGAGGAAAAAATGTTTGAATTTTTAGAAATTCGGATTTTTAAATTTTTGATAATTTTCGATAATTTTAGATTTTTTACCAAAGAGTCGAGACAATTTAATAAGTAAAGTATTTTTCAAAAGCACAAAATAATGAAGCTAAATCCTATAAAAGAGAGGAAAAAATGTTGAATTTTAAGAAAACGTATTTTGAAATTTTTCGAATTTTTGATAATTTTAGATTTTTTACCAAAGAGTAGAGACAATTTAATAAGTAAAGTATTTTCCATAAGCACAAAAATAATGAAGCTAAATCCCATAAAAGAGAGGAAAAAATGTTGAATTTTTAGAAATTCGGATTTTTGAATTTTTGATAATTTTCGATAATTTTAGATTTTTTACCAAAGAGTCGAGACAATTTAATAAGTAAAGCACAAAAAATAATGAATGTAAATCCCATAAAAGAGAAGAAAAATGTCGATTTGAATTTTAAGAAATCGGATTTTTGAATTTTTTCGAATTTTTGATTAATTTTATGATTTTTACCAAAGAGTAGAGGACAATTTAATAAGTAACGGTATTTTCCATAAGCACAAAAATAATGAAGCTAAATTCCCATAAAGAGAGGCAAAAATGTTGAATTTTTAGAATTCGGAATTTTTGAATTTTTTGAATTAATTTTCGATAATTCGTTAGATTTTTTACCAAAGAGTCGAGACACCCATTTAATAAGTAAAGTATTTTTCAAACGCACAAAATAATGAAGCTAAATCCTATAAAAGAGAGGAAAAATGGTGAATTTTTAAGGACAACGTTTTTTGAAATTTTTGTAATTTTAGATTTTTTACCAAAGAGTCGAGACTATTAAATAAGTAAAGCATTTCTAAAAGCACAAAAATAATGAAGCTAAATCCCATAAATGAGAAGAAAAAATATTGAATTTTAAGAAAATCGGATTTTTGAATTTTTTCGAATTTTTGATAATTTTAGATTTTTTACCAAAGAGTCGAGACTATTAAATAAGTAAAGCATTTTCTAAAAGCACAAAAATAATGAAGCTAAATCCCATAAAAGAGAGGAAAAAATGTTGAATTTTTAGAAATTCGGATTTTTGAATTTTTGATAATTTTCGATAATTTTAGATTTTTTACCAAAGAGTCGAGACAATTTAATAAGTAAAGTATTTTTCAAAAGCACAAAAATAATGAAGCTAAATCCTATAAAAGAGAGGAAAAAATGTTGAATTTTAAGAAAAACGTATTTTGAATTTTTCGAATTTTTGATAATTTTAGATTTTTTACCAAAGAGTCGAGACTATTAAATAAGTAAAGCATTTTCTAAAAGCACAAAAATAATGAAGCTAAATCCCATAAATGAGAAGAAAAAATATTGAATTTTAAGAAAATCGGATTTTTGAATTTTTTCGAATTTTTGATAATTTTAGAATTTTTACCAAAGAGTCGAGAATATTAAATAAGTAAAGTATTTTCCAAAAGCACAAAAATTATGAAGCTAAATCCCATAAAAGAGAGGAAAAAATGTTGAATTTTAAGAAAAACGTATTTTTGAAATTTTTCGAATTTTTGATAATTTTAGATTTTTTACCAAAGAGTCAAGACAATTTAATAAGTAAAGTATTTTCCAAAAGCACAAAAATAATGAAGCTAAATCCCATAAAAGAGAGGAAAAAATGTTGAATTTTTAGAAATTCGGATTTTTGAATTTTTGATAATTTTCGATAATTTTAGATTTTTTACCAAAGAGTCGAGACAATTTAATAAGTAAAGTATTTTTCAAAAGCACAAAAATAATGAAGCTAAATCCTATAAAAGAGAGGAAAAAATGTTGAATTTTTAGAAATTCGGATTTTTGAATTTTTGATAATTTTCGATAATTTTAGATTTTTTACCAAAGAGTCGAGACAATTTAATAAGTAAAGTATTTTTCAAAAGCACAAAAATAATGAAGCTAAATCCCATAATAGAGAGGAAAAAATGTTGAATTTTAAGAAAATCGGATTTTTGAATTTTTTCGAATTTTTGATAATTTTAGATTTTTTACCAAAGAATTGAGACAATTTAATAAGTTAAGTATTTTTCACATTAAAAAGTTTGACATTAAAAAATATAATGCCAATACTTAACCCACAAAATTTAATTTTCAAAACAAACAAATGAATGCAGATAATTTGCTAACGGAAAGGAAACTTACGATTATTATAATGTATTTTCTTATTTATGAAAATAATTGAAGTCTTGCGGAGGATTTTGCAATTCATATAAATAATTGAATTGTTTCGAAGAATTTTATCTGAATTTTTGAAAATAATTGAATTTTTTGAAAAAATTTTATTAAAAATTTTAAAAATAATGATTTTTTAAAAAGAATTTCATCAAAATTGTTGAAAATAATTGAATTTATATTAAAATTCTTAAAAATAATCGAATTTAATTATTATTTTTTAAAAAAATTACATTCTTTAGAGAAGTTTTATTCAAATTGTATTAAAAATAATTGAATTGCTCTAAAGAATTTTATAATTTATGAGGATAATGAAATTCTTGCGAAAAATTTTATTAAAATTTTTTAATAGTAATAAACAAGAGTATTTACAATTGAGTAAATTCATTACAGAAATTCAATTATTTTTAGTATACAATTTTACAGGAACTGCTCTAAAAATTTAATTATTTTTAAAAATTTAATTTCAATTCCTCAGAAAATCAATTATTTAAAAAATGTTTTGTTTAAAATTGTTTGTAAGGATTTAATTATTTACAAAAATATTGTAATTTTTCACAGGAATTCAATTATTTTTAAAAGTAATATATTTCTTTTTTGGAAATTCCAATTATTTTAAAAAATTCTTATAAAATTCTTCGCAAGAATGCGATTATTTTCATCAATAATAAAATTCTTCTCAGGAATTCAATTATTTTTGAAAATTTAAAAAAAAAATTCTTATCAACTATTCAATTATTTACATAAATAATTCTTCGAAAAATTTTAATTATTAAAGATAAATAACAAAATTATTTCCAAAAATTTAATTATTTTGAGGCATTGTTATAAAATTCTTTGCAAAATTCAATTATTTTCATAAATAAAAATTCATCACAAAAATTCAATTATTTTTAAAAGTAATACAATTTTTTTTTAAATTTTATATATTTTTATATAAATATCAAAATTATTTTCAGAAATTTTAATTTGAATTACAAATTCTGAATAAGTTAGTTTTTTGTTACAGTTTTATTCACATTTTTTTTAAAATATTATATTAAAAATTTTCAAATTACATATATTCGCTAATTTCACGAAATTGTCTTGTAAACAAGTAGATTTCAGAAATATTTTAGTTGAACTTTTTTTGAAATAATTCAATTTTTAAGGAACTTTCTCAAGAAGTATTAAAAATTTATTTGTATTAGAGAAGAATTTAAAATTTAACAATTTAAAATTTCTAGAGAATAATTGAATTGAATCAATTGAAACATTTAATCTTGAAAATAATTTTTCAGAGTTTTTCTTGACCGGGAAAAATAATTCATGACCTGGGATTTTTTATTCATGAAAAAACAATCACCCTGTAATTAAACAATGTTTTCTGTTTTCTCTTTAAAAAATTGTCTTTTATTAATAGTTTTTTCTTTATTTATTTATTTATTTAAATTAATAGTTTTTTATTTATTTATTTATTAATAGTTTTTCCTTTTGCAGTTTGATAGCAGCTGCGGTGACTTTCGTTATGGGACAAAACGTCGGTCGAAATCGCTTGTCTCACAAGCACAAATTCCACAGTAGTAAGTGTTTTAATTTTTATAACTCCGCTTGCATTGATAAACAACTTTAGTAAAATTTGATAAAAAGATTGACTCTATTTTGTTTTTGTATTCGAATTTATTTTGCTTTTCTTTCTTTCTTTCTATTTGAGGGAATAAAAAAACTAACATATTCTTGTCTTTTCTTTTTTTGCAGTTAAAGATTTAACGATTCACAATCGAGCGGGCTGCGATGGTTCGAGTAAAGGCCTTTTTCTGGGAATTCTATGTATGGTCGCTGGTATCGTTGTAATTCTTATTTTCCTCGTTGTGAGGGAGGATGAAAATTTTCCGCCATCAACACTCTCGTGGCTGACATGTGGCACTTTAATTGCAATTCTCAGTCTCAGTGGTCTAATGACAGCGAGTGGTTTAGTGCAAATACGTCAAATGTCAATTGTGTCAAGAGCGCCAGCCGCACTCGATACATTACTCTCAAATGTCTCTCTATTTGGCATTCAACTCTATTCGGTATTTACAATAATTGTCTGTATTTGCTGCTTGAATTGGACGGATGACGATGAATCGGAGGGACGACACATTATGCTATTGTCAGCATCGATTCTTCAATTATTACAGAGTTATGCCCAAAGTACATTGATTGCGGAGGCATCGAAAAGATCGTGTATCACGAGATATCAAATGATGGCAAAACCAGCGAGACAAGTTATTACATTTTTATTATTCAGCAATGCTGTTCTTTGGGCATTTGACACTGTCATCATTCACAATTGGATTTCACAGGAATTACAATTGAGATTTTTTGGCGTTCTTGCTTGGGGTATTATTTCTAGAATTGGATTGCCTCTATTGATTTTCTATCGATTTCACAGTTGTGTTTTGTTATTGGAAATTTGGAATAAGTGTTACAGAACGCCGCGGGGTGAACATCCGCTCAACTGACGACAAGGAATGACTCCAAGGTCACTTGCAGGGTATTTATCTAAAATTTAATGTTATTTTTAAATAAAATCCACTTTTTAAATTTTTACAATTTTTTTATCAAAATTTAATATTATTTTTTATATAAAATCTACTTTTGAAACTTTTACAATTTTTTTTATCAAAATTTAATATTATTTTTTATATAAAATCTACTTTTGAAATTTTTACAATTTTTTTTATCAAAATTTAATATTATTTTTTAATATAAAATCTACATTTGAAATTTTCACAATTTTTTTTAACAAAATTTACTTAATTTTGTTTTTATATAAAATCTACTTTTAACATTTTTACAATTTTTGTTAACAAAATTTACTTAATTTTATTTTTATATAAAATCTACCATTGAAATTTTTACAATTTTTGAACTTGATATTTTTAAAATATTGTTAAAATACTGAGTTGTCAAAAAAATAAGAATTGAAAATTAAAAACTAAAAAGTAATAAAGTTAAGAATTAAAAATTAAGAAATGGAAATTAAAAATAAGGGACAACTACTTTAAACCCTCTCTGACAGTTCAAAAAAAAAATTAATATTTATACTTCAAATTTTTGAATGATTTCAGATTTAAAATTCAGAAAAGTTCACTTATAAGCTAATTAATTATTATTATTTACGTCTATTTTTTAATATATTAATAAAATTCTTTGAAATAATGAAATAATTTTCAAAAATTTTAATAAAATTCTTCACAAGAATTAAATTTTTTTAAATAATGTAATTATTTTCGAGAATTTAATTATGTCCTGTACAATTTAAATGAAATTTCCCTAACTTTTTTAAAATAATTTTTTTGTTCAAACGTTTTTAATTTTAAAATTAATGTATTAAAAATCATTGAATTTTTGCAAAAAATTTTTTTTAAAAATTTGAAAAAAATTTAATACTTTCGAAAAATTTTATTATTTATAAAGATAATTAGAATTTTGACGAGAATTTTTCATATTTTTAAAAATATTTAAATTTTTGAGAATAATTTTATCAACATTTTTTTTAAATAATTGAATTCTTTTGGAAAATTCTATTAAAATAATAGATATTGAAAATCATTGAATTGAGGAAAATTTATGAAAATAATTAAAATTTTGACAAGAATTGTATTACAATTTTTGAAAAGAATTAAATTTTAGAGAAGAATTTTATTATTTATAAAGAAAAATGGAATTTTGTCGCAAATTTTTCTTATTTTTGAAAATAATTGAATTTTTACGAAGAATTTTATTAAAAGTTATTTTAAATATATTTGAATTCTTTTGGAAATTTTATTAAAATAGAAGATATTGAAAACCATTTAATTGAGAAAGATTTTTGAAAATTAATTGAAATTTTACCAAGAAATGTATTCAAATTTATGAAAATATTTTAATTTTTGAGAAGAATTTTATTACCTACTTTTGAAAATAATATTGAATTTCTAGGGAAATTTTTGATTTTTGTCAAGATAATTGAATTCCTTAGAAGAATTTTATTAAAATTTTTGATAATCCTAATTTAATTCTACAGAAGAATTTATTTTGGATTTTTTTTTAAATAATGGAGATTCTTTAATAATTTTAATTGGAAATTTTGAAAGTAATTGAATTTTTTTAAGAATTTCTTTCAAGTTTTTTAAATAATCGTGTTTGTTAATAATTGAAATTAAACATTCGATGATTTTACTTTATTAATTAAATTTTGTTAAAATTGTTTTGAAAATAATAATTGAATTCTTGAAAAAAATTTGACTATTTTTAAAAATAATTGAATTCTTTTGAAGAATTTCTTAAATAATTGAATTTTATGAAGAATTTCTTTCAACATTTTAAAATAATCGTGTTTCTTAATAATTGAAATTAAAAATTTGATTATATTGATTTTATTAAAATTTTTTAAAAGAATTAAAAATATTCTCAGAATTTCATTAAAATTTTATTAAAATACAGAAACTTTTTAAATGCAACTTTTTAAATTAATCGTCTCTTTTAATAATTGTAATTAAAAATTTTATTTTTTGAATTTTATTAAAATTGTATTGAAAATAATTGAATTTCTGAGAAGAATTTTTTTATTTGTAAAAATAATTGAATTGTTTTGAAAAATTTATTAAAATTACGATTTTAGCAATTAAATCTACAAATTTGAAAAAAAAGAACGAGAAAATGAAACTTTTTTTGTTTATTTTTTACTTTGTGGTATATTTTTTGAAAATTGCAGAAAAAATTTGTAACTAAATATAGATGTCATCCTTTAAGTCTTATCTTTAATTTAAGACCAAAAAATTTAAAAAAATCTTATTCGGTTTGCGACATATCTTTGGAAATTTGGAAATTCGAAAAAAAATATATTTTTGAAAAATAGTAATTAAAATTTTTTGAAGATACGCATATAATTAAATTCACGAAAAATTTTTTTAGAAAATTGAAACAATAGGAAATTTTGTAAAATTCTATTTTTATTTCTTTGGAAACTTTTAAAGTTTGGAATAATTCTATTCAAAAATTCTAAAGAAATAATTGAATTTTTAAAGAGTTAGAGTTGCATTTTTTAGAAATAATTAATTTTCAAAAGGTGTTTCATATAAATTATTTGAAATTTAAATTCCTGTTGGAAAATAGATAAGAAAAGTTTTTAAATTTTTGTTTTACAAAAAGTATTCAAGTTTAGAACAATTTAATTTAGAAATTCCGAAAGAATTTATTTCTTGTAAAAATATTGTAATTGAAGTTTATTAAAAATAATTATATTTCCGAAAATAATTTTAAAAAATTTAAAACAAAATTTAAAACTTTATCAAATTTCATTGAAATAAATTTTATATTTTAATACATTTTATTTGATTACTTTTAATAATTATTTTGAAATTATAAATTAAATAAATTTTTTTACAGAAAATTAAAACATCATCGCCGTAAAGTAAAGAATTTCCATCATCACCATCATCATCGTCGTCATCAGAAAAAGCAACAAGGTGAATTGAAGGTTCCACTTTTTAAGAATCTGGTGACCTTGGAATCAAATTCGCATCATCCACATCCGTACATGGACAGCGTTAGTTGGCTCTATTTGGATCCAAATCCTTTGATAAAAATCGATGCACCATTAATTGAAAAGCATGATATTGATTATGCAATGCCACCACCGCGAAGAAAGACGAATAATTGCTTGAATTATAAATGTCATAATCATCGTCATCATTATCGTCATCAACGTAAACATCAACATTGTCGTCATCGTCGTGTTGTCAGTGATCCTGGCGCGAAAAATTGGAATACCAATAATCCCCTGGAATTAAAGGGACACAGAAGAATTTCAAGTTATCATCATGAAAATGATATTTGTCTACAGGAAGCATGTAACGATCGTAATCGTGATGATACGATGACTTCAACGTTCAGAAAAGTGCCATGGCATCCCAATCTGCACATGCTCAAAATTCGACCAACTTGAGAATTTATTTTGTTATATATATATTTTTTTAAAAGTTCTTTTCTCTCTTCGAATTCCATTTATTTAATCTATTTAATTTTCCAATTAAATATATTAAAATTTTTAAAAAGATTCAAAAATTTTTGTCGAACACGAAGAGAAAATGTATAAATCTTCATTTGTAGAAAATGATTTCGTAAATATTCGAAGTTTATGCAGAGGAAATTTTTGTATATTTCGATAAATCACAATTGTCTCGGATTGAAAATTTTGGGGAACTAAAATTTTTACAAGAGGGTAATTTTTTCAATTCCAAATTATTATCGTGGGTGAAAAAATTTTATAATGAAAACAATTTATATGCGGAAAAGTAAACAACTGGAAACTTTTGGAAATTTGTAAATATTGTACAATGTAAAAATATTATTGGAAAAAAATACGTATATCTTGGAAAAATTAATAGAAATATTATTTTTATTAATTTTTCATATTAATTATTAATTAATATAAATAAAAAGTTAAAATTTATTCAAAAGTATCTTTAAATAAATTTTAACTTTTTTAAAATTTATTCAAAAATATCTTTAAATAAATTTTAACTTTTTAATTTGTGATAAAAATTTTCCAAATTGTGTGAAAAATGGAAAAAAAATAATTTTTTGGGAGAAAATTTATTAGTTTTGGAATTGAAAAAAATATCGATCTTGGTGAGAAATTTTAAATTCTATACGTGCAATATATAGTTTAATTATACATTTAAAAATGTATGTACAGAATTATTAGGTAGATTTTAATATTATCTAGATTAGAATTATGTATACTTTAATTTTCTAATTAATCGTGAGGAGGAATTTCATAACGTAAAATTTTTTCCATTTCGTAACTTACAGCCATTAACAAAAAAATTTTTTTTATTTAAATAACAGTCGCATTATAATTTTTTCAAATTTTTTTTTTAATTTTCTTAATTTTTCTTGTAATTATTTTACTAATCTTATTATTTAACTCTCTTTTTTCTCTTTTCTTTTTTCTGTTCTTTTTTGTAAATTCTAAACAAGAAGTCTATTTTTTAAAACATTTTTTTTAAAACATTTTTTTAAATCTTTTTTTTTAAATCTTTTTTTTTTAAATCTTTTTTTTAATCTTTTTTTTAATCTGTTTTTTAATCTTTTTTTTAATCTTTTTTTTAAAATAGTTGTACAGTACTTTTAGATAAACTATTGTAATTGCGATTATGGGTCCGATAATAAAAAAAAGAAAGAATACGATTCTCATGGAAATTATTTATTATAAAATTGATTTCTTTTTTTTCTTTGCTTTTTTGAAAAAATCTCTTCTGTGACCTCAATTAAGGAAAAGTAAGACAAAAGCAAACTTTCTTGTTTAAAAAAAAAATCTTTAAATTTCCTCGTTTGCACAGAATCCATGAGGAAACAGCGGAAATTTTTTTTTATCAGCTGCATTATAAATATGAGAGATGAAAAATTGAATCCTGTAGTCTTTGAAGTATTTCAGTGGCGAGAAGAATTTTTTTTTTATCATCATGGATAGTATTCTATCGGTAATTTACAATTGTTATTAATTATTATTGTAGAAATTTGCGTTTTTTTTTAATAATTATGATTTTAATTTTAATAATTGTATTAAAATCGATAACTGTTTTATTAATTTTTAAATTTTAATAAGTAATTTTTGTTTCTTTCGTTTTAGAAAAATCCAAAATTCAAAATTGAAAATGGAGTTCTTAAAGGAGAGGAAATAGCGGTGGATGTTGGTGACGCTGATGTTGGAAGGGAAATGTTTCAAACTCTGATGAATAATCCGAATTTCGTTGGTCAGGTAATGTTTTGTTTGATGTTTTATGAATTATTTTTATAAATAGTAAAATTTATTGCAAAAATTCAATTATTTTTAATACAATTTTAATCAAATTTTATGAAAGAATTAAGTTTTTTTTTAATTTTTAATAATATTTTTCGAAAAAATTCAATTATTTTCTTTTTTATTTCTTTTCATTTTCTATTCTTTTTTTTCCTTTTATTTAACATTAAATTTTTTTCTTCTATTTTTTAGTCTTTTCTTTGCTTTTCTTATTCTTTTTTATTTTTTAAGCCTTTTCCTAAGAAAAAAATTTCTGGGATTTTAAAATTAAATTTTAAAATTAAAATTTTCTGGGAAAATTTCTGAAAAATTTTTTCCTTTATTTTAATTAAAATTTTTTCTTCGTTCTTTTTAAAAACTTTTTTTCCTTTTTGCTTCTTAATTATATTTCGTGTTCGTGTTATTAATTGGAAAATGATTTATTTTCTCAGGTAGATGCAGTCACAGGTGAAGAGTGCACTTTCAAAAGAATGGCAGACGAAAGTGTTAGATGCTCGTTATGGATGAGAAAAGAAGGAATGAAACTCGGAGATGCTGTTGTTGTTTTTACTCATAATCACTTGGCAACATATATTCCCTGCCTTGCAACATTATTCAACAGAGGAATCATTTGTCCTTCATTTTCAGGACACTCTGTTGGTAAATATTCAAGAAAAACAATAATAACGAAATTAATAATTAAAAATAATAAAAAATTTTCTAACAAAACTTTTCAAATTTGCATTTAAATGGAAAATTACTTTTTGCTTAATTTTGTCTTCGTTTTTGAAATGTTTTCGAATTTTGTTACAGAAAATTTAGAATACATTACCGAACTGATAAAACCAAAATTTATCTTCGCCGACGAGAGAGAAGCAATATTAATTGATAAAATGTTGAAGAAAAAGGAAAATAATGATATAAAAATTATAACGTTTGAAAAAATTGAGGGATTTATTTCAATTTTTGATGTACTCGATGGACATAATTCAGAGGAGATTGACAATTTTTCTTGCACAAAACCAAATAGTCCGGAGGATAATTGTATATTAATTTTCACGTCTGGCGCGTCTGGTGAACCAAAACCAACGCTACATTTATATGGTTCAGTGATGCATACAATTTTAATGTGTCGATTAATTAAAAATCGTGAATGTCAAGTGGCATTAAATAGTTCGCCACTCGGTTGGGTAACGGGAATTGTTAATACAATTCTTGATATTGTGATGTTTATAAAGAAGATAATTATTCATGAAAAAGGACACGAGCCAGAGGAAATTCTTCGTTTCATCGAAAAATACAAGGTATTTTATATTTACCTTGTACTTTATATTTACTTAGTAAACTATAAAATTAGTGAGAAATTATTTTCAAACTAACACAAATTCTAATACAAAACCTTCACAAATTTTTTGTACTTCTGACAATAATTCTTTTTCAAATAACTTCATTCTTGAAGAAGTATCATAAAATTATTACTTGTAAATTATTTAATGAATTATTTTACTTTTAAATATTTCAAAATTAATTGTATTTTAAAAGAGTTGAGTTTACAATTTTCATAAATAGATGAACTTCAAAAGGATTTAATTTGAAATTTTTAAAAATTTCAATTTTCAATGAATTTAATTAGAAATTTTAAAGAAATAAGATTTTTGAAAAATTTTAATAATTCAAATTCTTCTGAAATTAGTTCAATTTTTTGATTTATATTTAATTACTTATTAAAAATGATGGATTTTCAGAAGAATTTTACTTAAAACCACTAAAAAAAAGTGAATTTTGAAAAAGTTACGAATGATTGCAGAAATTCAATTACTTTTAAAAGTATTATTCTTCACAAAAATTCAATTATGTTCAAAAACTAAATAAAATTCTCTACAAAATTTCAATTATCTTTATAAATAATAAAATTCTTCCATTAAATTCAATTACTATCAAAAATTTTCCTCAATTAAATGATTTTCAATATCTTCTATTGTAATAAAATTTCCAAAAGAATTCAAATATTTAAAATAAATGATAATAAAATTTTTGGCAAAATCTCAATTATTTTCAAAAATTTTAATAACATTTTTGACAAAATTTCAATTATTTTCAAAAATTTTAATAAAATTCTTTTATTAAATTCAATTATTATCAAAAAATTTCCTCAATTAAATGATTTTCAATATCTTCTATTTTAATAAAATTTCCAAAGGAATTCAAATATTTAACAAAAATTTTAATAAAATTTTGGCAAAATCTCAATTATTTTCAAAAATTTTAATAAAATTTTTGTCAAGATTTCAATTATTATCAAAGATTTTAATAAAATTCTTGGCAAAATTTCAATTATTTTCAAAATTGAATAACATTTTTGGCCACAAATTTTAATTATTTTCAAACATTTTAATGATATTTTTGTCAAAATCTCAATTATTTACAAAAATTTTAATAAAATTCTCGTCGAAATTTCAATTATTTAAAAAAATTTTAATAAAATTCTCGTCAAAATTTCAATTATCTTAACAGATAATAAAAATCTTCTCTAAATTTCAATTATTTTTAAAATTGAATAAAATTTTTGGACAAATTTTAATTATTTTCAAAAGTAATGAATTTCCTTTATAAATTTCTTCGCAATAATTCAATTATTTTCTTAAATAATAAAAGTTTTTTAAGAATTTAATTATTTTTATAAACATTAAAACTAATTGCAGAATTTTAAATATTTTTAATATAATTTCAATCGAATTTCTCGAAAACTGTTATTATTCTTAAAAATTTTATTAAAATTCGTTAAAAAAATTCAATTATTTAAAAATTTTGTTGATAAAATTCCTTATAAGAATTAAATTTTAAGAAACATTCAATTATCCAACAAATTATTTATTTTTGTATTTAAATAGTGCAAAAATTTTAAATGATTTATTTAAAAGTAGCGCAAAAAAATTTATTTTAAATTGAATTTTAGTTTTAATTTTAGATAGTAGTTGAATTTTTTTAAAAGGTTTTAAATTAATATATATTTGAAAATTGAAATTTTTCATACTTTTAACTGACAATTCTGTAGAATTCATTTTTTTTAAACTTTAATTGAATTTTTTTAAAATTATTATAGAAACTTTTATTTTCCAATATAGGATTTAATTTTGAAGAACTTTCAAATAATCGATGTTTCGTAGAATTGAATTGTAAATAAATAAATTTGAAAATTCTCAAAGAACTTTTTCAAAAATTATTAAAAATTAATATAGATAATTGATTTAGAGAAGAATTTTAGTTAACAATTTTTAGAAAATAATAATAATAAAAATATTAATTGAAATAAACATGAGAAAAAAATTTAATAAAATTATTTTAAATTATTTTGATTTAACTCTGGTTAAAATTAAATTTAATTTGTTTAATTTTCAAATTTAATATAACAATTTTTTTTGAAACGTTTAATTCTAATTTTCTAATTCACTTCTTGTATATTTCAGGTGTCAAATTTGATTCTGGCATTCGATATGATTTACAAATGTCACATGGTGAAAAATTGGAGAGATTACGATTTAACGTCTATTAAACGAATGTCAATTGGTGGTGCAAAATTGAATCCAAATGTATTTGAATTTTTTCAAGAAATTTTTCCAAACGGCCAACTACAAATTGCGTATGGTTTGTAAATTCATATATTTATTCGTAAAGTTAATATTAAAGTTAAATTATTATTTATGTAATTAAAGTTTTTATTTCATTATTTAACATCTAATTTTTACATTTGATTAAACATAAATTGTATTTTATTAATATTAATTATTTGAAAATATAATTTCAGGTTCAACGGAATTATTATTGATAGGTTTTAAAACTGTGATAAATAGGGAAAATTTTGATTCCTGTGGTTTTATTATTCCCGGAGTTCAAGTGAAAGTAATTAATCCTCAAAATGGAGAAACTTTACGAGCAAATGAAATTGGAGAACTTTGTTTTAAAACGCCATTTATGTTTAGAGAATATTATAAAAATCCAGAGGCAACGAAATCGTCAATTGACGAGAACGGTGAATATTATTATTATTTAAATAATTATAATTATTGAATATTAATTACTAAAATAAATAAAATGTTAATTTTTTGTTAATCTTAAGAAAAGCTGGAATAAATATTATAATTGAAATTGAAAGGATCATAATTAAGAATTTAATTAAAAATTGAAAACTAGTGAATTAGAAAAAAATTAGTTGAGTAATTAATTAAGTAAAAAAGGAAATTAATTAAAATTAAAATAATAATTACGAAAAGTATGGAAAAAGTTATAAAAAGTGTTTATAGGAACAAAATTTTAATTAAAATATTTTATTAATTTTCTATTGTAATTTTACAGGTTGGTTTCATTCGAAAGATTGTGGTTATTACGATGAGAAAGGTTACGGCTATATTGCAAGTAGAAAATCAAATTTATCCCTCGACGATGAGAAAAATCAAATTCATTGGGAAATTGAAAGAATTTTATTGTTGAATTCAAGTGTCGTTGAAGTTGCCACAATTTCTGATACGAAAAATTCGAAAATAAGAATTTTCGCATTTGTCACCATTATTCCAAATGCAAAGGTGATTATAATTATTAGTAATTAATAATAAGAATTATTAATTAATTAATTAATTAATTAATTAATAATATAGAAAATAAATAGGTTAAAAATTAATAATATTATTAATCTGAAATTATTATGTTGTTACTATTTATTTTAATATAATAAAATTGAAAATATTCAAAAGAAAGAAAAATAATAAAAACAATATTTATTTGATTTATTTGTATTAGAAATTTTTTTTAATATGACAAAAATGATATAAAAAGATAACAGAATTTATTCCTATTATTGTTTTTCAATAAATAATAAAACAAAATTGTACTTTTCAGGTGACGGAAGAGGAATTGGTGGATATTCTAAAATTTCTCAGCTTAAAGGAATGTCAGGTAACTGTTAAAATTTTAGAAAACATGCCACTTACCTATAGTGGAAAAATAAAAATCAACGTTTTGAAAACAATGACTGAAAGCATGTAAAATTCTATAAAATTCAAGGGAAAAAAAGAGAAAAATAATATTTAAAAAAAAAAATAAAAAAAATTGAATAATAAAAAAATAATGAAAATAATAGGTAATAATAATGATAATAATAATAATAATTAAAATAATAAAAACAATATTTTAATAAAATAAAATAATAAATAAAAAGAAAACAGAATAGAACTTTTTTCTAATTTCCTTTTCGAAAAGTAAATAAATTTTTTAATTTAATAATAAATATTTAATATAAATAAAAAATAATTATAGTAATTTTTAATAATCGAATTTAATTTCAAAACGTATTTTATTCATATAAAATAATTCTCAAGTTATGAACTGTTTTAAAAATATTGTAGGGACATTATGTTTTTAAAAATAATTTTTTAAAATAATAAATATATTTTGTTTATAAAAATATTACTAAAAATCTTTCTAAAAATATTTAAACTTAAAATCTAAATTAAAAAAAAAGAACTTTATAAACAAACAATTTTATATAAGTATTTCTATAAACAAAAATTTATAAAATATTTCTATTTTTCTATTTATTTTATTCATTTTATTTATATAATTTACTTAATTATTTAATTGTTTATAAAGTTACTTAAAAAATAATTTTAAAAATTAAAATTATTTAAAATATTAAAATAATATTTGTAAATTTTATAAATTACTAAATTAAAATAATAATATTTATTTACATACATTAATAATCTTTTTAATTGTTTTTTAATTACAAATGTAATTAAATTATAACAATAGATTTTTTTTAAGTATAGTTACTTTTATTTAAATCAATAGTGAAATGATAATAACAATAATAATATTAATTTTTATAATCTGCAGTATAATTAAATTTATTTACATCACATAATTTGAAATAACTGAAAATAATATAATTTTTTTGCAATTTATTTGCAAAGTAAATAAATATTTTTAATTTAGCGGTAAAATTGCAGACATAATTTGAATTTTCATATTATTTTGTTGGCGATACTGAGAGAAAAGTTAGGGTTTCTCTTTATCTAGTATTGGCAGCACTGCTCATTGCATTGTCGCTGTTGTATCAACGAGAAGGACGAGAAGAAAGCGTTTGTTGTTGCAGAATTATTAAATCTAATTGAATCATTTATATTTTTAAGTTCTTTATTAGTTTCTATCGGTAATTAGTTTCAAGTTTGAGTATTGAATCAATAATTTATAAAAGTTTCATAAACACGTATAAAAATGTCAAATAAATGTTCGACATAACCTCGAAATCATAGGAAAAAGCGGAAAAGGTATCATAGGTATGAAATTATTTTAATAATAAATTAACAATCCAGTCTTTAAACATGGTTGAATAATCATGTTCGACAAACTAAATTTAGAAAATATTTAATAAATATTTATAATTTTTAAAAAAATCACTGGAATTTATATATTATAAGGAAATAATACAAATTTTAGCAACGTATTATTCAGACTCTTTTAGGAAGAATTCATGCGCCTTATTCTCCAAATAGAATTCATTTTTAATACGGCATTTTTGCAATCGGGTTATAAATAATATTTATTTACTTTTATTTTTAATAATTAAACTAAAAAGATGAATAATTTTACAAAAAAAAGATAATGGTTAAACTTTTTTTTTTTATATTGAAATAAAAAAAGACATCATTGTTCACTGCAAGAATTCAAAAATTTATTTATCTTGCATTGACAACATTGGTGACTACAATAAATTCCCTTTTTTATTTTTTTATCCTGCACTTCTGCTGTTGGCAGCAGTGCTTATTGCAATAATAGTTGCCTTGCTTCGCAGCACTCGCAAAGTCGCAAGTAGAAGAAAGTATTTGTTTTTACAAGTAAATTGTTTATATATTTTCACGTTTATTATCAATCGTTAGTAATAATTAGCTTCAAATTTAAGTAAATAATTGATAATTAAAGTTAAAGTTTAACAAAAACATGAAGAAGATTGAAAATATTTCGTGAAATTATTTTCGACAAAAGTTAACCTCAAAAGGTATTATTAAGTTCAGAATATTATTTAAAATTAGTATTATAAATAATAATTAATTAATTAATTATTTTTAATTAGTATTTTTATTCTAATAAAAGCAAAAGAATGAATAATTTTATCTTTTATAACAGAAAAGGTAAGAAACTTTAGAGTTTTCTTATAATTATGCATTAATAAAAAATAAAACGTTTTCAAAACATTAATAATTACTCAAGAAAATCATACTTTGTGAAATTATTAATATTTTTTTGAACATTTTTAAAAAATTCGAATTTTAAAAAAGTAACAGTAAAATTTTTTTTGAAAATTAAATTTTATAGAAGAAAATCGTACTTTTTTGAATATTTTTCAAAAATTAAAAGTTCTAAGTATATACCTCCGTGTTTCGGAAAAAAGGTCTTTAATAAAAAAAAAGCTCCAATTTGATGAAAAAAGCCCAAATTTGATATTTGACTCGAAAAATTGTTTTAAAAATTTACAAGACCAGCGCCATTTTTTAAGATACTCCGTGTTTAGGAAAAACTTTTCTTTGATAAAAAAAAGCTCCAATTTTATGAAAAAAGCCCAAATTTGATAATTGACCCGAAAAATTGATTTAAAAAATTTACAAGACTTAGAGTCGTTTTTCAAGATACAATTTTTTTCTGAATCGGAAATAAATTATAAAAAGGTTCTGAGTACCTTCGTGTTTCAGAAAAAGCTCCAAATTAATTTAAAAAAGCCCAAATTTGATATTCGACTATAAAAGTTTAAATTTGATATTTTACTCCAAAAATTGTGAAAATAACTTTAGAAAAAACTTTGTTTAATTATCTTTTATTATCTATAAACTTGAAAGTGACTCTTCATTTTACACGAATGAATAGTATACAATTTGATATAGTACAAAAAAATATTAATCGGCATGTAGAACATATCAACATTTAAAAAAGAAGTGATAAATAAATTAACAATTAAAGTGCCTTCGGCTTAGAGGATTTGACTTTCTTTAGTTTTTTCAGTCCATTTATATTGCTCTTTAAAAGATTCCAGTACGCCTGCTGGAATTTGTTCACGTCCTTTGGATGAATCTGTAATAAAAAAAATTGATATTGTTAAAAAAAAACTGAATTTACAAACAAATATTTTTTATTTAAAGATGTTAGATTTTTTTGGATTATTCTAATAATTATAGTGAAAGCTGTTAATTTTTTAAAAAAATAATAAAATATAGATTTATTAAATAAAATAAACTGCGGACAGTTTACTTTTTAAAAATAACCTATTTAAAAAAAAGCAATAAAAATGTAATGATAAATTAACTTACGACTGTCGAGATCTTCTTTGAACTAAGAGTTGCACGAACTAAACAAAGATATTCACTAGGAACGGGTAATGGAGGTTTACTTTTCCTTGGCACTGGCTTATTATGTCCATTAACTGAAAAAAATTATTAAAATAATTAGAGACACGATTAATTTACAAAGAAAAGTAGAAATTGACAATGACAAAGAATCATTTTTCCATAATTGAATATTTTTATTTTTTACTATTACTTCTTTAAGTATTTTATTATTTATTATTAATTATTATTAATAATTATTATTACTCATTTTTAATACTCTGACGACTGAGTAATAAAATTATTATTTATATTATTATTAATAGTTGTTATTTTATTATTTATGTTATATTTTTATCCGTATATTGAAAGAAAAACTCCCAAATAATTCAAATACTTGACAAATATTTTATATTTACTGTATACTTCGATTTTTCTCAAAAGGTTTGTACAAGTCATCGTTTTGATGATTGTTGACAGAGAAAAATGGAAATATTTGAAAGATTTTAAAAAATTTGATAAAGAAAAGCAAACTTTTTAAATTGCGAGCTTTGATAAGTTTAGTAAATTGCTAATACAGTGGTTTTAGTTATTAAAATTTTGTTTGTTAAAATGCAGAGGTGAATTTTAATGGTTATTAATTAATTATACTTACACCTTTTGATGGTCAATGAGACTGCACCAGAGAGTCTTGATTTTTCAAACAAACGTGTGAGTTCGGCTAAAAACTACAATAAATTGAAATGAAAGATAAATTCTATTCTATTTATTTGAAATTTAATTATTTCTTTAATATTTACCGCATCATTCTCTAGTAAAACCATTACGACGGTAGCATATGCCCTTTTTTTCGTCAATACGTCAAACAAACTTCAATTTTGACACTTTTTTGAGGTTAGAACATGCCACGGACAGTCAACCAGGAGCGTAGATAGAAAATAGAGAACCCGGGTTCCGTTTAAAAATTTTTACAATTTTTTAAATATTTTTTATTTTTATAGTTTTATATAATTATAAAAGAAGAAATTATTCTATAGATGGAAAATTTCTATAAAGTTACAAAAAAGCAAAAATTAGTTTTTCTATTTTTAAATAAAAAATCGAACAAATTAAAAATATTTTAAGTACTTTGACATATATATAAATATTTATAAACACTCCTTTTTAACCCTTTCTCATCGTTTTGTTGAAAAAGTAATATTATAAAAAATGTAAATTAAAAATACTTTTTACTTTAATTTTTTAATTTGAAAAAAAAATTAGAATTGTCCCATTTTTGTTTGGCTGTAACGAATTGAAGTTAAACTTTACTTTCTCACATATTGTTGAGAAACGGTAAAAGAATTTTGACAAAGTGAGAGGCAAGTGACGAAGTATATAAAAAAGTTCAAATGGTCATTTAAAAACATATTTCACCGATTATTTTGAAAACGAAAAATTGGACTCTGAAATTGGTAAATTTTTTTGTATTAAACTTTTGTTTTAAATTACATACCGCACTGAGACTGATTTTAAATTAATTTGTCGAATCTAACCTCAAAGTTTCAACAATTAATCAACTTTTTTACGTATTTTATTATTTAAATTAAAATTGAATCATTGTAAAATTAATTCTTTTTCTAAATTTACTTTCTTTTAATTTTTAATCAATTTTGATGTTTAATAATTCAAAATTTCCTTGTATGACGTTTTATAACCTCAAAAAAAGTTAAAGATTTATTTTTCTATAACAAACATTTGTTTTGGATTTAAAAATATATTTTAGTAATATAATTTTTTAATTTTCCCTCCAAAAAATCGAAATTGTTTCTGAACAAAAAATAATTTTAAAAAATAATGTCAATTGTTGAATATATTAGTGTCGGTTTTTTTGTTTTATTTTTTCAAATTACAATTTTTTGAGAAAGAAATATTTGAATTTTCGAGATTTAAGATTTTTATTTAATTATATTTGTAAATAATAAAGTTCTTTGAAGAACTTGAATTTTTTTAATGTAATTTGAAATAAATTCGTCAAAAAATGCAATTATTCTTAGAAATTTTATTAAATTTAATTTGTAAAATGTATTGTATATAAATAAATAAATAAAATATAAATATATTTGATAAATAAATAAAAAATTTAATTTAATTAAATTAAATTAATTAATGTTAAGTTCATTAAAATTCAGTTACTCTTTAAAATAATTTCGATTTTTTCAATTTAAAATTCGATTTTCAAAACAGAAAATTTCGTACAAATAAAAAATCAGTCTGTGTGGTTTTTTTGGCAAATATACAACAACAAAGTAAAATTATGTTTTAGATAAAAAAAATTGTAAAAAAAATGTCGACAACACTATCGAACGAAGCTCAAATGCGTTACATTGTTGAATGGTTTCAAGAATGGTCTGAAATGCAAAGAACCGATTTTCTTGGAATATTTCTTGAACGTTGCAGTCCAGCAGGTCTTGTTAATGGTTTACTCTCGGGACTTGAGGGATTATGCAGTAAAGATGACATTGATCGACCACCAAGTTTATTTCAATGTCGAATTAAATTATTTCGCGAATGGAGTCAAAATTGGTCGCAACAAGAAAAAGATTCACTCACAGTTTCAATAAAAAATATTGATCCAAAATTCGCCGAGCAATATGATCAGAGGTTATCTGATTGTACTGCCGATGGCGAGGAATAATTTTTTAAGGCAAAAGAAAAGAAATTAATTAATTGCCAAAAAAAAAACAAAATTTGAAAAAAATAATACTTTTTTAATAATAATACTTTTTGAGAATTGTAAGTGAAACTTTTGGTACAAATTTTTTTGTTTCTTAGTACAAGAGACTTTTTAATCGAAAAATTCAAGAAAGACTGGATTTTATAGCTTCATATCATTTTATCGAATATTATTATTATTATTATATAGTTTATAATATTGCTAGTGTATAGAAATGCGAAATTAATTTTAAAACAGTATTTTTAAATTATCCACTTTTTGAAATTTTGATGATAAATTTATGTATAAAATAATTTATACATTTTATACATTTTATAATTATAATTATGTGGAAAATGTGATAGTAAATTTGCTATAATTTTTTTTATACACATTTTATAGCGTTTGCTGGACTTATGAAACATTCCAATTTTTAAGAAATCAATTCAAGTGATTAATTAATTAATGATTATTGTTAATTGTTATTATTTAATTACAAATTTAGAAATAAAGAAATGTATTGTATTTCATGTCTAAATTCATTTGGATTATAAATTATAATTTTAATTAATTGAGGAGTTTTTCTTTCAAATAAGATAAAACAATAGCAAGATAATATGAATACGCTTTATTTTTTTTAATCCTTACAAAAAAGCGGAAAATCTTTCACATTTGGAAATATTTTCTAAAAAGATTTTTTTTGCTTTACAAAATTTTAGTTTTTCGAAAAGGATTTTCGAAATATTCAGATCGATTTGTAATTTATAATTTATTATATTATTAATTATTATAATTATAATGATCATAATTACATGATTGACATAAATTGTAATAATTATAAATGATTATAAATAGGTATATTAAATTATTCGAAATCTAATGATTCATATAAATTATTATAATTATTAACAATTTTTTTATTAACACAAATATAAAAATAATTTTTTAATATTCGAATTTGAAATCGAAAATAAAAAAATTATTTTTATCCTTTTAGAAAGAAATTAATTTATAATAAATAATTGATTGGTTTTTTCTCGATAAATTATTTTTCCCATACTTAAATTTTAATTACATAAAATAATTAAAGCTAGAGTAATTTCTTTCGTATTTTTTATTGTGACTTTGGAAAAAGTTCGTTTTTATTTATTATTTTATTTCTCATTTTGAGTAAATGTCCCCCCCCCCCAAAAAAAAAGAAAATTAAATTCATTTTGAAAATTATTAATTATTTTTTTTTTACAAATAACTTATTTGCTAATTAGCGTTGTTTAATTTTACGCAAAAATGTATCACAGCCCGTAACAAATGATTATATCTGCAGTCTATTTGTTTTCGAAAGCAATTATTATTTTGTTACGATATTAATAATAATAATATAAATATTGTCTTTTAATTAATAAATTACTGTTAAGATAGTGCGCTTTTCAATCGTGAACATTTTTTCTTTTTAAACGAAAAATATTCCTTTTCTTTTTTTACTTTTCGTCATTCTCGAGTTTTTTTAAAATGCGCGGAAAATAAATTATATATATTTAAATAACTTTCTAGTCTTCTATAATTGCTTATTAAAAATAAAAATAAAATAAACCTGTTTATATTCTCATTATATGAGAAAGTAGTTTTCTTTTCTAAAAAAAAAAAGGCTTTTTTCGTCCAATTTGTGACTGTTTTTGAAAAAATAGTAGGAAAAGCTTTTTTATTTTGTTGAAAAGAAAAGAGGAGGTTTTAAAATATAGTTTTTTTTTCTTTTAGTTTGAACCTTGTGTTTGTTGTAACCATTTAGTACAAATGGATTTTATTGCGTTTTGTCCGAGTCTGTCGGCCTCTTTTAAAATTCGACGAATGTCATTTGCCCTCGAATGCTTCACTGCGAGAAGATATGCGGCTTTTAATTGTCGACTTTCAATATAGGAACTTATCTGAAAATTTTAATTAAAAAAACATTATTAGAAAATAATACAATAATGCAATAGAACTATTATTTATTTATTATTGAATTATTTAGAAAGAATAACAAAAAAGACAAGCTTTCTAGAAAAGGATCTAAGAAGCAAAACATATTAATTAATATTAATTATAAAAAAATAATATTATATTAATATTAATAATAAAAAATATTAATATCAATATTAATAATATTAATAATAATAAAAATAATTAAATAAATTATTTTTGAAATAAATAAATACCTTTAATTCTACATCAGTAATCAGTCTAATTAGAGAATTAACTTCATCTCTTGTTTCGGTGGATGATGGACCTAAAAGTAGTTTAACGCAATGAGCTAGAATGCGATCGGAAATCGCTATTGAATCGGCAGCTCCTGAACTGCGGCAGCATTTTATTAATTGTTCGATTGAATTGATTTTCTTCTCAATAGCGAGAACGTGGCCCACCAGTGAATAAACTTTTTGTGAGCGAAGACTGTAATCTGTAAAATACATGAAATATTTTATTCTCTATCTATAATATTTTTTAAAATGAAACGAAAAATATTAGAATTTGTAAAAATTACCATACTCTCAATTTTTGTGTTTAGTAAAGTTTACTGTACTTTTAATTAAGTTTAGTAAATTTAACTCTGTTTTAAATAAGAATTATATTAGTATTTGTAATTTTTCAAATTGAATTTAATAAAATTTGATTTTAAATTATTTCTTGGCAAGTTTTCCGTATTAATTGAATTTTAAAAGAATTGTGTTTTCAATTTTCATAAATTTTAATTTGAAATTCTAGAAAATTTCAATTTTGAATTAATTTAATTAGAAGTTTTAAAAAACTTAGATTTTAAAAAATTTTTAATAATTCAAATTCTTTTCTGCAATATTAGTTAAATTTTTTAGTATATATTTAAATAATTATTAAAAATAATGAATTTATAGAGGAATTTTAGTTAAAAACACTAAAAAAAATTTTTCTTTTGAAGAATTTTCAAATAATTGCAAAAATTCAATTATTTGAAAAAGTAATAAAATTCTTCTTAGAATTTTAATTATGTTAGAAAATTTAACAAAATTCTCGTTAAAATTTCAATTATCTTTATAAATAATAAAATTATTCTCCGAAATTCAATTATTTTCAAAATTTTTAATGTAATTCTTGGCATCATTTCAAGTAATTTTCAAAAATTGTTCTCAATTTAATGATTTTCATTATTTATTAGTTTAATAAAATTTTTGAAAAGAATTTCTTTATTGAAAAAAAATTTCAAGAAAATTCTACACAAACATTTAATTGTTTCCATAAACAATAAAAATCTTACAAAAATTCAATTATTTACAAATATTTTATAAATTTCTTCATAATAATTCCATTATTTTCATAAATAATTAAATTCATTCATTGCATAATTTCAATAAGTTTTAATACAATTTCAATCGGATTCCTCGAAAAATGTAATTATTCTTGAAAATTTTATTTAAATTCGTCAAAAGAATTCAATTATTAAAAAGTTTGTTAATAAAATTCTTTATAGGAATTCAATTTTAAAAAATATTTCATTATTCAATAAATTATTTATTTTTGTATTTAATGTAATTGAATTCTCGTAAAATTTTTTAATAAAAATAGACTTTTGGAAAATTTTAATTTCAATTCTGTTGAAATTAGTTGAATTTTTAATTATCTTGATAAATATCAAAATGCTTCCCAGAAATTCAATTATTTTTAGGAATTTTAATAAAATTCTTTGCAAAATTCAATTATTTACATAAATAACAATATTTATTACAAGAATTCAATTATTTTCAGGCAGTTTATTAAAATTCTTGTCAAAATTTCAATTATTTAAAAAAATTTTTTTTAATTTCAATAATTTCCAATATCTACTATTTTAATAAAATTTCTCAAAAGAATTCAATTATTTAAAAAAAATTTGATAAAATCATACAAAAAATATTCAATTATTGTCATAAATAATAAAAATTTCACAGTAATTCAATTATTTTAAAATCATTTTGCATAAATTAATTTGAAAACAATCAGTTATTTAAAAATTATTTATATAATTCTTCGCATTAAATTAATTATTTTCATAAATATTCGAATTTTATACAGAAATAAAATAATTATTTTGATAATCTTTTTATGTATTCAGTTATTTTCATGAATAATAAAACTCGTCGCAGAATTGCAATTATTTTTAATACAATTTTAATTGAATTCCTGGAAAAATGTAATTATTATTCTTAAAATTTTCATTAAAATTCGTCGAAAGAATTCAATTTTAAGAAACATTCGTTCATTCCATATATTATTTATTTTTGTATTTAAATAATTGAATAGTCGTAGAATTTTCCAATTAAAAATTGATTTAAAAATGAATATCAGTCAAAATTTTAGATAAATATCAAAATTCTTCCCAGAAATTCAATTATTTTTAGGAATTTTAATAAAATTCTTTGCAAAATTAAATTATTTTCATGAATAACAATATTTATTACAAGAATTCAATTATTTTCAGTCAGTTTTATTAAAATTCTTGTCAAAATTTAAATTATCTTAAAAAATTTTTTTTAAATTCAATAATTTTTAATATCTACTATTTTAATAAAAATTATTATTAAATTATTAATTTAATACCTTGCATTATTCGGAAAGCAATTCCAAATCCCTCCTCAACATCGCGTCCACACAAAATCGCCAAAACTGCCAATTGCGTTTTTTGCTGTTGATTACCAAATAAAGTTGGTAATTCCTGCTTTTGCGTTCCCTCAGTGTCCATATCCGATAAATAACCCAAAAATGTGCCAATCGATCTTCCCTCCTTCTCAGCTGCACCCAAAAATTTTGCAATCTCCATCTGCCTCGATATTGTATTAATGTGCTTATCAATTTCCGACGCGTCCATTTCCATAATCAACGATTGCATTGAACTCACACTCTTTCGTCTCGTTCGACGATTACCAAAATTCTCCAATTTTAAATCGGCCTCCAAATGATTTTGCGCCTCAAATAACCACAATGTCCTCTCACATAAATCACTATAAGTTCTTGCTTCATTCTTATAAAATCTTATGCAAGTCATTGCCGCACGTATATAATCCCTCATGAACAATTGTAAATGATAAAGTGTATTGAGTAAATTTTTCTTCTCCAAATTACGACAAATGAAGACTAAATATTTTTTCCACATTATTAAACTCGTGTCCTTTTCTTTCATTGCATTGAGGAGTTGTTGAACAATTTCCGCTTGCAATGCCTTCATGTAAATTGAATTGAAAAATAATTCATGATCGAGTTCATTTTCAAGAACAAAATCGAGACATTTATCGAATTCTTTTTGTTTGACGAAAAATTCGAGTATTGAACTTGCGCTGCCGTACATGAGAAGATAGTAGAGACTTTCGTTGTAGTAAATTGTTCCGGTCCAGGAAATTATTGCTGTTGGATAATTACCTTGAGTTATTGTTTTTAGACTGTTGAGGGTGTTGAGAATTTCCTGCGCTACATTTGGGGTTGATTTGAAGTCCTGACCGTTGAGACTTAAATTCTCGAGAATTTGGAGAATTTCGGTGAGTAGGGGAGGATTTTTGAGGGGACGGGAATTTTTCGGTGTTTCACGTTTTGGTTTAGTTGTTTTAGTTGCGTCCTCGTCACTTGATTCGGGATGTGAGAGGAGGACCCAGTCTTCGTAATTCTCGTGATTGATGGCTTTGTCGAGACAGTGGGCGAATTTATCGCGGGCACGATCAAAGTAACCAACTTTGAGACAAGCTTTGCCCCAAGCGGCCCACACGCCTTGGGTGTCGAGACCTGATTTTGTACTCACGTCGAGAGCGAGTGTCCATTGTTCCTTTTCGGTGAGGAGATCGCGTAATTTTCGCAGAGCATGATCGTCGAGATCGTCGCTTGGAATGAGAGCCAAGCAATCGGATTGAACGAGAGTTGTGATGAGATCGACTTGAGAGAGGAAACGATCGCAATGAGCGAGACCTGCATTCAGGCCCAATTTGGCGCACTTGACTTTTGCCGCTACCAATAGGGAGCGAATCATTTTGATAATTAGGGCGTGATCAATCTCGGGATTAATTTTACCGCCGGAAACTGGTTGCAGGAGTTTTTTCATTTCGTCACATTGATCGAGGAGAAATGTCGTGTAGGCCTTGTGATCAGAGTGAAGATTTAGAATTGCGAGACAGAAGGAGATGTTTGGCGCGTACTCGAAGGAAAATTCGTCACGAATTGTTTGATTGTAGGAGTCGTCGATTGTTAAGCGCCAGGCTTCGAGGGTTTCACTGCTTGCAGTCGACGAGGAACCTGTGAAGAATTTTTTTAATTTTAGTCAAATTTTTATTATGTTTCTTTTTAGCTAACAACCCCGTAACCAGGGAATTTAGGGAAAAATCAGGAAAACGTAGAATTTGTCAGGGAAAAGTCAGGGAATTTTATTAAAAGTACTAAAGAAAAATTTAATTAAAAATTTTAAACAACTTTGTTTTTTGAAAAATTTTAATACTTCAAATTCTTCTGAAAGTAGTTAAAAAAAAAATTCTTCGCAGAAATTTAATTATTTTAAAAAATTTAGATAAAAATCTTGTTGAGAATTCAATTATTGTTATAAATAATAAACTTTTTGTCAAAAATTCAATTATTTTCACAAATAATAAAATTCTTCTCTGGAGTTCAATTATTTTCAAAAATTTAAATAGAATTCTTTGCAAGAATTTAATTATCCTTACAGGAATTCAATTTTTTTCAGAAATAATAAAATGTTAATTTAATTCTTGTAAAAAATTTTATTATTTTCATAAATAATAAAATTCTTTGCAGAAATTTAATTATTATCAATAATTTAAATAGAATTCTTTGCAAGAATTCAATTATCTATGAAAATAATAAAATACTTTGTAGCAATTCAATTATTTTCAATATTTACAATTTGAATAAAATTTCTCGAAAGAATTTTATTGATTTTTAAATAATTTTAATAAAATTCTTTGCAGAAAATCAATTATTATTAAAAAAATTTTTTTTTTTAAATTCTAGTTAAGATTTAAATTATTTTTGTAAATAGAAAAATTCTTTGACAAGATTCAATTATTTACAAAAAATTTTTTGTAAAATTTTACACCAACATTCAATTATTTTCATTAATATTAACAATTTTTTACAAGAATTCAATTATTTAAAAAAAAAATAAAATAAATTTTTTCAGAAGAAATTAATTAATTAAAAATTTTTAATAAAATTATTTGCAAAATTCAATTATTTTCATAAATAACAATAATCTTCAAAGGTATTAAATTATTTTCAAATATAATAAAATACTGCGAAAATTTTTAATTATTTTCAAAATTATTTTTTTAAATTCTATCCAAAATTTCAAATGGTATTTTTATAAATTGCAAAATTTTTTGCCAAAATTCAATTATTTATGAATAATTTTGATACAATTTTATGCAAATATTCAATTATTGCGATAAACAATAAAAAAATTCACAGGAATTAAATTATTTAAAAAAGGATTTGCATACATTTTTTCAGAAGAAATGAAATAAAATTAAAAACTTTTAATAAAATTTTTTGCAAAATTCAATTATTTTTAAAATTTTTAATCTAATTCCTGGCTAAATTTCAATTAATTTTCAAAAATTGTTCTCAATGTAATGATTTTCATTATTTACTATTTTAATAAAATTTTCCAAAGAATTCAATTATTTTAAAATAATTTTGATAAAACTCTACACAAACATTTAATTATTTTCATAAACAATAAAAATTTCACAAAAAATTTAATTATTTACAAATTTTTTTATAAATTTCTTCCCAATAATTAAATTATTTTCATAAATAATAAAATTTTTTACAGGGATTCAATTATTATTTTTATAAATTATAAATTTTTTTTAAGGAATTTAATTATTTTCATAAATAACAATATTCATCACAAGAATTGAATTAAATTCAAAACTCAAAAGTAATAAAATTCTTCGCAGAAATTAAATTATTTAACAAATTTTTTTTGGGAGAAAATTTTTATGGGAAGAGTTTGTTGTTTATCAAGTTAATTGAATTCTTTTGCAGAATTACTTAAAATTTTTTGGAAATAATTGGTTTTCTGCGACGAATTAAGTTATTTATAAAAATATTTGAATTATTGCAATGAATTTTAATATTTTATTAAATAATTGAATGTTTCTTAAAATTGAATTCTTTCGTCAAGTTTTAATAAAAATTTTTAAGAATAATTGCATTTTTCGAGGAATTTATTAAAAAATTGTATTAAAAGCATTCGAAATTATGCGATGGAAATAATTGAATTCCGAAATGAAATTTTATTATTTATGAAAATAATTGAATGTTTGCGTAGAATTTTAATAAAATTTTTCTTCAATAATTAAATCTTTTGATAAATTTTATGAAAATAGTAAATATTATGAAAATTATTGAATTGCAAAAAACTTTTGAAAATAATTGAAGTTTTGACAAGAATTTTAACAAACTGCCTGAAAATAATTGAATTCTTGCAATAAATATTGTTACTTATGGAAATAATTGAATTTTGCAATGAATTTTATTAAAATCCCTAAAAATAATTGAATTTTGCAAAGAATTTTATTAAATTTCCTAAAAATAATTGAATTTCTGGGAAGAATTTTAGTACTTATCAAGATAATTGAATTCTTGACGAAATATTCGTTAAAAATTTTTAAAAATAATTGAATTTCTTCTAAGAATTTTATAACTTTTGAAAATAATTGAATTTTAGGTGAGAATTCCGCTATTTTTAATGATAATTGAATTCTTGACGAAATATTCGTTAAAATTTTTTAAAATAATTGAATTTCTTCGAAGAATTTTATTACTTTTGAAAAGAATTGAATTCTTGCGATGAATATTGCTATTTATGAAAATAATTTAATTTTGCAATGAATTTTATTAAAGTCCCAAAAAAATAATTGAATTTATGGGAAGAATTTTATTACTTTTGAAAATGATTGAATTCTTAAATAATTTCTTCTTCTTCTCTTCTATCTTTTAAAAGATAATTGCGTTAAAAAACTTTTGAAATAATTAAATAATATTAAAAAATTCATTCTTGTTAGAAGTAGAAATAATTTTTGAAGGTTTTGCATTAGAATTCGTGGTAGTTACATAATTTATGAGGCAAACAAAAAAGACACCAAAAATTCAGAATTTTCTTATGAATTTCTAAAAATTAAATTTTTTCAGTACTTTTAATAAATATCCCTGACTTTTCCCTGATTTGTGGCAACCCTGCTGAATAATTGCAGGACAAAAGTTCCAATATACGAAATGTCCAATTTAAATAAGTTCCAAAGTAGTTTCAGTTTGTTTTTAGTTTTGAAAAAACCCAAGTGTTTTGGTTTTTGTTTTCAGTTTTGGAAAAACCCAAGAGTTTTGGTTTCAGTTCATTTTTAACTAGTACAATTAATAAAATAGTGGAACAGAAAAAAGAGATTAACTCACCAAGCATAAAATTCTGCTGCATAGTCGTCTGTAATTTACAGTCCTTGCAAACTCGTACCAACACCGAATTTGGATAACCACTGACTCTCATTCGATGTTCCGAGCACATTGCACAAACAACTCGGCCACATCTCCGACAATGATGTCTCCGATTAAACATCGAGAATATCACCTCCTTACAACTGCTACACTCCTTTGCCTTATCATTCGGCGTCCATTCCTCCTTTGTCGGTACATTTGCCGGCATTATAAATTCCTTCGTTCCATCAATACTGCTCTCCATCATTTGCAAATCCCTCGATTTCACCTCAGCACCATCCCTCTGGAATGCAACTCGAAAATCCAATGCCTTACTCGCATAAAATCTAATAACACCATCAAAATGTTCAACGGATAAATTTGCCTCCACCAATTTCCCACCAATCGAATTTAACGTTCTCTGTAGTGTTTCAAATTTACAGTTCATTAATAATTGCTCGAGCATTAGCAGTGGTTCCTTAATTAAACTAATATAGAGTCCTTGTTCTTTTGCTTCTAAATTATCGAGAATTTCAATGCCAATCAATGCTTTCCGATAGGTGATTATTTCCTCCTTTGCTCGACAATTCTCGATGAGAAATTCAACAATGAAACGCATTGCTTTTATTCTATCTAAATTCTCAAGGATTCCTTTACACATTGTTAGGGATTGAGATTGTGGCAGGGCTTTCAATAATTTTCTCGCATGATTGAAATCTAGTTGATCGTTTTTCAAGAGGCCTTGAAATAGATCCTGAGTTATTAGTGTGTGCATTTCGGATGAGAAACTCTGGAATTCCAACCACTCGAGGCAGAGTTCGAATTTATTTTCTTGAACCAAAGTTTGAATGACTCGGGCCGGATCTGTTTTCTCGGTGCAATTAACAACGTCCAACCAATTTGCATTCTTGAGATTAATATCGTCCATACAGTAGGGGGAAATTTTGCGAAATATTCGTACCCGGCATAAGGTTTCGTTCATTCGAATTTTACAATGTTGGGGTAATAATTGACTGTGATTGTGATTCAACGAGTGATTGAGGGCCTCCTCGCAAATTTCCATTGGCCAGTGATGCATATTTTCCATAATTGTCTGCACGAGAGTGTTGATATCGTTAATTTGATAAATATACATCATTATTTCCTCCGGATTAACATTGGCGCTCATTAAACTCAAAATTCGATCTTTAAAACATTGTAGTTCGGTATTTTTTGCGAGATAATAATCTGGGAGGGCATTGATAATAGAGAGGCAGAGATGATAATTTTTTTCCTTGAGGGAATTGTGAAAATAGTGCCAAAGAGCTGATTGGGAGAGATTCTCGTTTACACTGGCTAAAACACAATTTTCATCGAATAGGGAACTGAGAATTTTTGTCCATTTGGAATTTAGAAGATTCTCGAGACAGGCGATACGTTGATTTTCGTGATTTTGGAAAATTTTCGAATTTTCCTGATGTATTCGCTCGACGAGGTAGGAGAGTAACCAACAATGCTCCTCGAGATAGCGTAATAATGATGGTTTTATTATTCTTGTTTTCCATTCTGATGGGGAATACATTTTCTCGCTGTTGGCGTTCTTCTCATTTTGGGAATAGGTGAATTTTATTTCGTATTCGTAGACACTGGGACTTGTTTCCATTTGATTGAAAATATTCAAGATTGATTTTAGAGTTTCGTTGAATTCTTCGTTTTGATGATAATTTCTTTCACGATTGTTTGTGAATCGTTGAATTATTTCGGGAAATTGGTGGGAATTTTTTGATTCGGATTTATAGTGTTCGAGATAGTCCAAGAGGGATTTATTTAAATCATCGTTTAGGGTTCGTGGACTGTAAACCTGGAAAAGAAAAAAATTTTTTAATTTGCTTAGTTTTAGTGATTTTTAAATTTATTTTGATGTTTTTTGACAATAGAATTTAATTTTAAAAAGAGGATAATTTTTTCGGTTTAAAAATAAAAAAAAACAAGAAAAAAATAATATTATTTAGAAAATATTTAATGAATAATTTTACTTAAAACTATTTCAAAATTAATTGAATTTTAAGAATTGCGTTTACAATTTTCATCAATAGATGAACTTCAAAAGGTTTCAATTTGAAATTTTAGAAAAATTTTAATAATTAAAATTCTTCTGAAATTGGTTAAATTTTTTAACATAATTATATTTGATTAATTATTAAAAATAATGAATTTATGGAGGAATTTTAGTTAAAAAAACTAAAAAAAATTAAATTTTGGAGAAGTTAGAATTGATTGCAGAAATTCAATTATTTACAAAAATAATATAATTCTTGGCAAAAATTCAATTAGTTCAAAAATTTAAAGAAATTCTTGTCAAAATTTCAATTATCTTTATAAATAATAAAATTCTTCTTCAAAATTCAATTATTTTCAAAAATATTAATAAAAATCTTTGCAAAATTTCAATTATTTTCAAAAAAAAAATGTTCCTCAATTCAAAGATTTTTTTCAAAAAAATTTTTTTAAATTCCAAAAGAATTCAATTTCTTAAAAAAAATTTTAACAAAATTCATTGCAATAATTCAAATATTTTCATAAATAACTTAATTCGTCGCAGAAAATCAATTATTTTCAAAATTTTTTAAATAATTCTGCAAAAGAATTCAATTATCTTGATAAACAAGGAAATTTTTCCCATAAAAATCCCCCCCCCCCCCCAAAAAAATGTGTTAAATAATTTCATTTCTGCGAAGAATTTTATTACTTTTGAATTTAATTGAATTCTTGTGATAAATATTATTATTTATGAAAATAATTGAATTCCTAAAAAGAATTTTATAATTTATAAAAATAATTGAATCCCTGTAAAAAATTTTAATATTTATGAAAACAATTGAATTATTAAAAAGAATTTTATATACAATTTTTAAATAATAATGTTTTTTGGAAAAAATGTGTACTAATTATTTTTTTCTTACAATTGAATTCCTTTGAAATTTTTAATATTTATGAAAATAATTGAATATTTGCGTAGAATTTTATAAACATTTTTTTTAAATAATTGAATTCTTTTGGGAAATTTTATTAAAATCTCTTCAAATAATTAAATATCTGCGCGGTATTTAATTACTTATGAAAATAATTGAATAACTTTGAAGATTATTGTTATTTTTATTTTTATTTATGAAAATAATTGAATTTTGCAAAGAATTTTATTAAAAATTTTTAATCAATTCACTCGATTATCTTTATTTAAATTATAAAACAGGAAGAAATCGATCATTCCGAGTCGAAGACTCGGAATAATCGATTTCTTCATGTTTTATAATAAATATTCTTATAAGTTGTTGAAGTAAATTTAAATTAATTTTATTTAATTATAAATTATAAATTTAAATTAAAGTAAATTTAATTACCTTAATAATTGGCGAATCGGAAAATTCATGAGCCATGGCAAATATTGACCTCGAGTCCATCATTAAATCCAAATCTTGCCACGCAAGTTCATTGAGACTTTCCATTTCGTGGAAAAATTGATAATTCCAATTTAAATCGCCGAGTAATTTTACTCTCAATGTGGCGAGTGTGACGAAACCTAAATCACCAATTTCATAACCAATTATCATTAATGAAATGAAATGTCTTAAATCATTGTTGGACGTGTCCTTTGACCAGAAATAAAGAATGCAATGTAAGAATAATAAATTCCAAAGATTGAGAAAAAATGCCAAAGTATGATGTCCATCGAGTAATTCACTTAAATCCAAGGCAGCGAGAATTTGCGTTTTTTGCAGAATTAATTGTATCTCGGCATTTTTTGAGCAGGACAATAAATCCTTGGCAGTTAAAATTGAGGCATTCGGTGTGGATAGTTTTCGTAAAGTTTTCAATAGATCGGTTAAAATTTCCGATACGTAGAGATTTGGATCTGATGTGAAATCCTGAGGATTTTCCTGTAAAAGAAGACATTTTTCTTTTGCTTTTAATTTAGAGAAAAATTTTGTGATTGGAAGTTAAATTAATATTATAATATTTGAGTGATTATTTAAATAAAAATATTTCTTTTTAAACGGAAAGTAATAAATTAAAATATTTTTAATGAAATAAATGAGATTGATATAAAAATTTTCAACTTACAATTTCCTCGGAGCGTGAATTTAAAACAATAATTCCCCATTGGGAATTGGAAATTTCCTGACAATTTGTTTCATTGTCGCAAGAAAGTTTTGGACAACAATTTACAAGAATACTGTGAACTAAATTCACTTGAAGTTTATTTGCTATTGACTCGAGTTCACTTGGCTCAACATTTAAATCGAATATTTCGTGTCCAAAATACGAGTCCAGTGGATTTTTTAAAATATTCGTCTCCGTGAGAACCAAATTTTTATCTGCAGAAACAAAATTTTTTTATTTTTGTAGAAAAAGTGATGAAAAATAAAATAATTTTCCAAATAAGAAAGTAATTTTTTAAATAAAAAACTAATTATTGAGAGAAGTGATAATAAAATGAAAGTAAAAACTAAAAACAATTTAAAAATAAATTAAAAATTATCTCAAAATGAAACTAAAAATAATATTAAAATAAAATAAAAAAAGTAGAAATAAATATCAAATTAAATAGAAGAAAAGTAATAATATTTGTTTAACAAAATAGATAGGAAAGTAAAAATAATTAAAAATAAAATAAAAATAAAGTAAAAAGTAAATTAAATGAATTAAATAAAAAATATACCGTTAATGATTGTCTGAAGAATTTTCAAATGCGAATAAACAATTTTCAAATAATCATTTCCATTATCGCAGAGTCGCATTAATTCTTGATAATAATTCTCTCCCAATGTTTTATTAATTTTCTTCTCACTATTATTGTCGGTGGGAAAATTTTCCGCGATATTTTGTGTATTTTTAAATAATTGCAATTTCTCCTCCAATTCGAGCCAAAAATTATTCTTCTCCTTCCAATGTTTTGCATTCAATGGTATTGTTGCATCGGCAAATAATTCCATTAATGATGATGATGAATTTAATTTAAAATCATTCAGTAATAATAATTGATGGACTCGTGTGAAAAATTCTTGATTATTTGTATTTTCCAAATTGCGACAAGATTTTAAATGTTTTGCCGCAACATCGCATAATATCATTGATGTTGAACGATTCATTCCCATTGTCAATGCTAAATCGAGAATTGTAATTGTTAAAATTTCTTTTTTCGTCAACTGTTGATTATTTAGGAGGGAAATATTTTCGTCTTGCGACGCTAAAAATGTTTCCAATTGTCCAGTTATGCGGGACGTTTGAAATCCTTCATGAGCTGCTTGTTTGATATTCTGAGAATTTTTAAAAATTTTTAATTAATTTTTATCTTCGATATTTTTATTTATTTATTTTTTATTTAATTTATGTTTTAATTTACGTTAAAATTTGTTAATTTATGTTAAAATTTTAGAGAGGAATTTTATTATTACATAGTTGAATTTCGAGAAATTTTATTAAAAATAATTGAATTTCTGCGAAGAATTTTATTATTAATGAAAATAATTGAATTTCTACAAAGTATTTTATTATTTTCAAAGATAATTAAATTTTTGAGAAGAATTCTATTTTTAATTTTTGAAAATAATTGAATTTCATAAGAGAAATTTATTATTTATGAAAATAATTAAATTTTTGACAAGAATTAAATTAAACTTTTATTATTTTTGCAAAAAAATTGAATTCTTATGAAAATAATTGAATTATGGCAAAGAATTCTATTTCAATTTTTGAAAATAAATATATTCCGGAGAAGAATTTTATTATTTGTGAAAACAATTGAAATTCTGACAAAAAGATTGTTATTCATGAAAATAATTGAATTTTTGACAAGATTTTTATCACAATTTTTGAAAATTATTGAATTTCTGCAAAAAAATTGTATTATTTATGAAAATAATTCAATTTTTGACAATAATAAAATTAAAATAAATTTTATTATTTCAGAAAAAAATTGAATTCTTATGAGGATAAATAAATTTTTGCAAAAAATTGTTTTATTTATGAAAATAATTCAATTCTTGCGAAGAATTCTATTTGAATAATTGAGAAAAATTAAATTTCTGCAAAGAATTTTATTATATTTATAAAAATAATTAAACTTTTGACAAGAATTTAAAAAAATTTTATTTTTCCTGAAAAAAATTGAATTGTTATGATGATAATTGAATTTTAGACAAGATTTTTATCTAAATTTTTAAAAATAATTGAATTTCTGGCAGAGAATTTTATATTTATGCAAATAATTAAACTTCTGACAATAACTAAATTAAAACCTTATTATTTCAGAAAAAATTGAATTATTATGAAGATAATTGAATTTTCGCAAAGAATTTCATTATTTATGAAAGTAATTGAATTTAAGTTAAATTTTAATCTTTGATTTATATTTATAAAAATTTTTGATTTATATTATTTATAAAAATAATTCAATTGAATTTCTGCAAAGAATTTTATTATTTATGAAAATAATTCAATTCTTGTGAAGAATTTTATTTGAATAATTAAAAATAATTAAATTTCTGCAAAGAATTTTATTATTTATAAAAATAATTAAACTTTTGACAAAAATTTAAAAAAAATTTATTTTTTCCTGAAAAAAATTGAATTGTTATGAAGATAATTGAATTTCCGCAAAGAATTTCATTATTTATGAAAGTAATTGAATTTAAGTTAAATTTTAATATTTGAAAATTAATTTATTCCAGTGAAGAATTTTATTATTTTTGAAAATAATTGAATTTTTGACAAAAATTTGATTATTTGTGAAAATAATAAAATTTTTGACAAAAAATTTGATTATTTATAAAAATAATTTAACTTTCGACAAGATTTTAAAAAAATTTTTGAAAATAATTGAATTTCTGCGAAAAATTTTATTATGAATGAAAATAATTCAATTTCTCACATGAATTGGAAAAAATATTATTTCTGAAAAGAATTAGATTTTTCTTGAATTCTTTTAATTTAGATAAAATTTTAATTTGTCTCACATGAAGTATTGAGTGAATTGCTGGTGAATCGACGACGTCCGAAGGATTCAAATAATTATTTAAATCCCGCCGGAAATTTCGAATTGCATTCGAAAATCGAACTTCGCCATCGAGTTGCGATCCCTTCATGTGAAACATCTGAAACAAAAGAAGAAAAATAGTAAAACTTGGTTAATAATAAAATTCAATAAAATTCGGTAAAATTCGAAAAAAATGTCTGAAGAGAAAAATATTGTCAATTATTAAATTATGAATAATAATTTATTTTTCTGCAATTTTCTCTTAATTATCCTGGGAATAGAAATTAAATATTTGCATTCTATTCTACTCCCTTCGTATGTGGTAATAAAAAAAGGTTTTTTTAGGATAATATTAATTTAATATAAATATAAAATGTAATTTAATATAAAACAGTGAAAAAAATAATTATAATTAGGTGGATTTAAAGGATAATCAAATTTTCGAAATTTCCTCCGACGAGGAGGATTACGATGAGAATGAAAATGAATTGCTTAATGTACGCGATTTACGTGAAATTAAATCGCTAGCTGATGATGAAAAAAAATATGAACCATTACATTATCATGTGGCAAATGATAATCGTCGAGAAAAAGCTGAAAAAATTGCGAAAATTTCGAGAAATTCACATTTTCATCCAATTATGGAGCGAAATGTTATTTATGAAGAAAAACCATTTGCTGTTGGTTTTCAAGAGACACTCGACAAGGTTGAGAATTTTATTTTCAAATCATTTTATCTAATTTTTTCAAAAATGTTTTTTCTATTTTATGTTTTCAAAATTTTTTTCTCTTCTTTTTTTTCGAATTAAAAAATTCATTTTCTATTTTTACATTTTTTTAGAAGTTGAATTTATCTTTAAATTTCAAGTTTTTTATTTAAGTAATAAATAAATATTTAATAAAATATTTTTTTCAATTCCAAATTTATCTTATTAAAATTAAAAATTATAGAATTTTAAAAAAGTTTTGATTTAAAGATAAAATATGAGTCGCCGAAAAGTGTTCCGAAAATGGAAAAAGAATTATCATTCAAAGACGCAACAGTCGAAAGTGCGTGGAAAAAATTATTTTTTGCAACACCAAAAATCGAAAACGAATGGTATGTAAAGAATGATAATTTTTATAAATCTAAAAATAGACGATTTAAAAAAAGTGACGAAGAAAATTCTAACGAATCAACAACAACAGATTCGGATTTTTTTCAATTTACAAATGAAAATTCACTGGAAGAGAAATATTTTTCTTCGACTGATTTTAAGAAAAATCAATTTACAGAATTAAGTACAACTAAAAAAGAAGAATTAATTGACAAACAAGAAGAGAATAAATCAAATGATGATGATTATGATTATGAAAAATTGAAAGTTGAATATTATCAACAATTGAATGAAATGGAGAAGAAAAATAAGCTTTTTATTTATACGGAAGGTGAAAATTTTGAAGAGACAACGACAATGAATAAAACTAATGAATTTATGGATAAAAATTTAAATATTTTAGAAACGAAAACTACGTCAAGTTTGAAAAATTTAGACAAAAATAATAAAAATTTTTTGATACAATCGAAAAGTAGAAAAATAAAAAAGCCGATAAATTGTACGAAAGTGGAATCTTTTCTTCTTGGACCGAAAACACTGGAATGTTTGTCGAATGCATTTAAAAATGTCAAGAATCCGTTGGATTTGATAAATGCTCTCAAAAGAACTTGGAATGTCACGAAAATTTGGATTATTCTTTATATTTCCGTTGCGATTGCTTGTTGGTGTCAAAAAGGTGTTTGAATTATTCAAAATAGAATTTTTAATAATAATACAAAAGAAATTTTTTAATTGTACTTTTTTAATAATTTTTCTTTTTAAATATTTTCAATTTTAAAATTAACGTATTGGAGATTATTGAATTCTTGAAAAGAATTTTATCAAAAAATTTGAGAATAATTGAATTCCTTCGAAGAATTTTATTATTTATGAAAATAATTGAATTTAAATTTTTAGAAATTAATTCTTCTCAGAATTTTATTAAAATATAGAAAATAATTAAATTCTTTTGAAGAATGTCTTTAATATTGAACAACAGTTTGCTTTTAATTGAAAGTGGAATTAGAAAAATTAATTTATCTATTTATAAATATTTTTTCTAATACAAAGGTTGGTGTTGTTGTTGTTGCTGTTGTGAATTTTGCTATCCCGAGGAAGTTATGTTGAGGGAGAAAAAATATTTTGCGGAAAATCCACCGGGAATTTTGGTTAAAAAAGAAAAAGACGGTAAACTATTAAATATTGTAACTGAAGAGTATAAACCAACACTTTTTGAAACTGACGCTTATCAACAAATGGAAAGTCAAATAAGAAATCTTTAAAAGTACTATTTTTATTATTATTTTTTTTATTTCGATTTTAAGAAGCAAAAGAGAAAAAAAAGTACAAATGAGAAAACAAATAAAAATAAGAAATTATTGAAAAGTGTTTTATTTTTTTTCTTGTTCATTTCGATTCAAAAAGAACAGAAAGAAAAATTATAATCGACAAAAAAAACAAAAAAAAAGATAAATAAATTTTTTACGTTATTTATCAAAATAATATAATTGTTTACAATAATTATATTAAAAATTTTCTTAAAAATAATAAAATTCTTTTTAGAGGTTTTATTACTTATGAAATTAATTCAATTGTTCCAAAGAAGTTTATCGGAATTTCTGAAAATAATTCAATTCTTATGAATAATTTTATTATTTTTGAAAATAATTGAACTCTTAAGAAAAATTTTATTAGCTTATGAAAATAATTGAATTGTTTCAAAGAATATTAAAATTAAAAATTGTTGTTCTTTCGAGAAATTTTATTATTTTATGAAAATAATTGAATTCCTACTAAGGATTTTATTACTTTTGAAAGTAATTGAATCCTGGAAAAGAATTTCAATAATTTGTGAAAATAATTTATTTCTTTCAAAGAATTATATTAAATTGTTTGAAAATAGTTTAATTGTTTCGAAAATTTTTATTAAAGTTCTTTAAATATAATTGAATTCTTGACAAGAATTTTATTTAAATATTTAAAAATAATTGAATTTTTGACAAAAATTATCTTATCTATGAAAATAATTGAATTTCTGCAAAGAATTTTATTATTTTTGAAAATATTAAAATTTCTTCAAAGAATTTTATTGTTTTATAAAAATAATTGAATTTCTGCAAAGAATTTTATTATTTTTGAAAATATTAAAATTTCTTCAAAGAATTTTATTGTTTTATAAAAATTATTGAATTTCTGCAAAGAATTTTATTATTTATGAAAATATAATTAAATTTTTGACGAGAATAAAATTAAAATTTTATTATTTCTGAAAAATTTTTTGATTCTTATGTAGATAACTGAATTCTTTCAAAGAATTCTATTTAAATTTTTTGAAAATAAGTAAATTCCAGGGAAGAATTTTATAATGTATGAAAGTAATTGAATTTTTGACAAGAATTTTATCAAAATTCGAAAATAATTGAATTTTGAATTTTGTAAAATTTAGTGTTCTTTATTTAAATTTAATTTAATTAATGTTCTTGATTTAAAAAAAGTCTCCTGTAAGAAATTGGAAATTCTAAGAATTATTAAAATTCTATTTCTTTATAACAAATTAAATAATTAAATAGAAATTAAATTTTTATAATGAGAAAGAATAATTTATTTCTTTTAATTTCCAGGAAAAAAAATTCTGTTCTATAAAAAGAAATAGAATATTTTTCGTGAATTAAGTAAAAAGTTTTGGAAAAATTTTTTTTACCTCAATTATTTGCTGGGCTCTAAAATGATCCCTCTTCCATAAACACTGTAAAATCCAACTTTCCCTTGGCATTAGCATAAAATTAATGATAAATTTCGAATTATTTTCCCTGCCCTCATTATTATTGGAATTAATGAAATTTCTTATTTTCCTTTTTCTTCGTCTCAAATTCATTGCATTGTCAAGTGATCCGGATTCGGAATTTATTTCTAAATCCGATTTCATAAATTCCTCATCCGATGAACTTGGTCCATTGATTTTATAAAAAAATGCCTTCTTTTTACGTCGTATGGAAAAATTAAATTTCCCACTGACATTAATTTTTGCCTCTTCATTATTGTCGTCGTTTTCATTTTTTTTCACAAAATCATCACTCGTGAGAAATTCAAGTTTCCATAATGCGTCAGCAATTGCATTTGAAAAATTTGTCAATCTTTTATTAATTGCCGAAAAATTTTCATTGCAATTTCTTTTTTTTAAATTTGCAATTTCAATTCCAATTGTTAGTGAACAGTTTTTTAATTTCTCCATTAATTCTCTTATTGTATATTTATTGGCGGCAAAACCAAAATGTTTTTGTTCAATATTCTCCAATGCGGACGTTGCTTTTTCATCGTCGTCGGAACTTTTTTCTTTTATATCGGCAAAATCTTCGAGTCTTAAAAATAGAAGGGAGAAAATATTCTCCATTACTTCGAGTCTTAAATCTAATGATTTAATGTCGAGGATTAATTTTTCCATTTCTTGAAAATTTTGTTCAATTTCGTTACGCTTTGATTTGTAATAATTACAAGCGAGAATTCCTTTAAGTGCACTTAACATTGCAAAATAAGAATGAAATGTATTTGATGCGTCTTTTGTGTCTTTTAATAATTCTTGTACTTGATGGTAATTTTCCTCGTGTAAATTGACACTTGATTTTAAAACAGTGAGAAGACATGAGGAATTTTGTAGACGAAGGAGAATTTTTTTTACTGATAGTGTTTGTTGTTCTTGTGATGCTGTTGTTGATGATGATAGATGAGAACTGGGAGAGAAAATATTTCGTTTTGACTCAAGAATCCAGTGAATTATTTTTAAATGTTGTTTCATTATTCCATTGGATTTGGAAAAAATGAAATTATTCGAATTTAGAGTGCATTGTTCGTGGAGAAAATTTAGAGAGCGGTAGATTTTCATATTTTTTTCCCATGTCTCGATTGATGTTATAATCGGAATGTGAGGAAGGCTTGTGATAAAATGAAACATCAGTGATGGCCAGAGATTTTTTAATGATGTGCAGGAGAGGAGTTTTGATACTTTTTCGTAGTCGCCGTTTGTTAGAAAAGTGTTGCACAATTCCTTTAAATAAAAGTTTCCTAATTAGTGAACTTTAACATTAAATTAATGTTATTAAATTAAAAAACAAAACTAAAATAAATTAAACTAAACCTAACTAAACAAAACTAAAATTAACTAAATGGAACTAAAATTAACTAAACGAAACTAAAATTAACAAAGCTACACTACAATTAATTAGCAAATTAAATTAAGAACTTCAATTGAATTAAATACATAAATAGAATTAAAATTAAATTAACGAATATTAAATTAAAATAATTGAATAAAATTAAAAACTAAATTTACAAATTTATTTCAATTGAGATTAAATTAAACATTGTTTTATACAAAAGAGAAAATTGATTATTTCTTAATCATTAAATTATTAGTATCTCTAATTAAATGAATTTTCAGTTGGGAAAAATTTTCAATTAACTGAATATTCATATTTAGCGGAATTCATAGTAAATGAAATTTATATTTAACTGAATTTTATAGAAAATTACATTTTTTTTTAGTTTTATCGAAATTTTTGAAAATAATAGAATTGTTTTAAAAATTTAATTAACATTGTAGGTATTGAAAATAATTAAATTCCAGAGAAGGATTTTATTATTATTGAAAATAATAAAAACAATAATTTAATTCTTGACGAGAATTTTTTTTTAAATTTATGAAAATAATTTAATTTTTACGAAGATTGTTAATATTTTAATGAAAATAATTGAATTCTTATAAAGAATTTTATAGAAATATTTAAAAATAATAAAATTATTTTGAGAAAATTAGTTAAAATTGAATTTAAGGAAAGAATTTTATTAAAATTTTATAAAAATAATTAAATTCTTTTTTATAACTAAGTAACTAAATTCTTTTAAAACATTTTAATATTTTTGAAAATAATTTAATTATGTATTGAGAATATTTTTTAAATTTATGAAAATATTTGAATTCTTGATAAGAAATTTATTAAAGATTTAGAAAATAATTGAATTTCTAGAAAAAAATTTTTATATTTTTAAAAATAATTGAATTTCTGCAAAGAATTTTAATATTTTTGAAAATAATTGAATTACTGAGAAAATTTTTTTAAATTTATGAGAATAATTGAATACTTGATAAGAAATTTGTTAAAGTTTTAGAAAATAATTGAATTTCTGCAAAATTTTTTTATTATTTGTAAAAATAATTGAATTCTTGACAAGAAAATTATTGTTAAAATGTTTGAAAATAATTTAATTCTTGCGAAAAATTCTATTAAATTGTTCGAGAAAATACTTGAATTGTTTCGAAAAATATTATTTAAGTTCTTTAAAAATAATTGAAATCTTGATAAAAATTTAATTAGAATATTTGAAAATAATTGAATTAATATGGAGATTTTTATTATTATTTATGAACATAATGCTTTAAAAATAATTGAATTTTTGACAAAAATTTTATTAAAATTTTTAAAAATAATTGAATTTTTGGGAGAATTTTAGTATTTTTGAAAGTAATTGATTGTTTGCAAAATTTTTTAATAAATTTATGAAAATAATTTAATTCTGGACAAAAAATGGTTTAAAATTTTTGACAATAATTGAATTTCTGTAAAGATTTTTCTTATTTATGAAAAAATTGAATTGTTTTAAAATCTGTATTTCATTATTTATGAAAGTAATTGAATACTTGAGAAGAATTTTAATAATTTAAAAAAAAATAATCGCATTCTTGAAAAGAATTTTAATAATTTTTGATAATAATTAAATTTCTGCAAAGAATTTTTATTATTTGTGAAAATAATTGAATTCTTGAAAAAAATGTAATAAGTTGTGAAAATAATTGAATTTTTCAAAGAATTTTATTTAAATTCCTGAAAATAATAGAATTTCTGCAAAAATTTTTTATTATTTGTGAAAATAATTGAATTCTTCACAAGAAATTGTTTAAATTTTTGACAATTCGAGTATTCGACTTAATATTAAATCAGTTAAAATAAAGGATTCAAATAAAATGTTTGTTTAATTAAAATTCGATTAATTCGAAATTCGGTTAAATAGAAATTTTCTGAATTGGTAATTTTGAAAATATAAAAATTCAGCTAAATAATAATGAATCAATCAAATGCGATTTCGTGAAAAATTGAAAATTGGTGAAATAAAAAGTACGTAATGAATAAAATTGAAATCATTCTCTTTTTTTATAAAAAATAAAAATTCTTTTCAAAATTATTTTTGTAAAATAAAATTAGTAAAAGTGTGTAAATTAAAATTTATCTAAAATTATGATTTGTAAAATAATGAAAAATATTTACCAAAATATCAGACATCCAATGGGTTTTGCGTCGTAAAATTCTCATCGATAATTCCCTGTGATTAATGGAACATTTGCCATTATTTTCGTCAATGAAAAATAGTGCATCGGATATTTTTTTTGCATTCTCATAAAATGTGGGACTCTCGGAACGTGCATATAAATTGTCTAAAAATTTGTCCCATTCATTGAAAAATTTTCCATTCTTTCGTGAATATAGTGCAAGTTTAATTGCATCTGTATCGCAATATTGCAATAATAATGGGAAAAGCCATTTTATTAATTCATCTTCTTTTTTCTCGGTTAATTCGAGTTTCGATAATATACACAGCAATGTGCCGAGATTTTTTTCATTGAGAAGAATTTTTTTTTTCGGGTATAAATTGGAAACAGAAATTTTTTCCTCATTAAAATTGTCGTCATTTTCTTGATCCACTGCTTTTTGAATTATTGATTTCAATGCAATTGAATATAAATCTTGGAGAATTTCATCGGAATATGAAAATGTTGTTGGCCAAATGCAGAGTAATTGATTAATTAGCCAGCAAGCTAGCGATGGATGATTTTGTAAATTTGTTTCTAAAAATTTTAAACTCGCTTGCGATATTTTTTTTGTATTTTCCGTTCGATTTTTTGACTTTGTTAGCGCCTCGAAGAGTTCGTTCAATTCCTGAAAAGAAAAATTTATTTTTCAATTATATTTATTGATAGATATTAGGGAAATTTTTTGAAAATATACTTGAATTCTCGAAAATAATTTTTTAAAAATTGAAACAATTGAAAATTTTGTCAAATTTTATTGAAATGAATTTTATTTGTTTACATATAAAAATTATTTTGAAATAATTGTATTTTTGAAGAATTCTAATTGAAAATTTGAAGAATAATTTAATTTAAAAAAGGAGAATTTTTTTTAAGTTAAAATAAAATTTTTTTTGAAAAGTCAATATTTTTAAAAATAGAAAAATATTGAACCTGCTCCACATGATCAGTTATTTGATCGTCAATTAATTTCAAGGCTGCCGCAAATTGAATTGACTCGAGTTCCTTTTGCACTTCCGCAGAATTTGCCTTATCGAGACATAATAAAAGCTTACTACTAATCCACTTGATTTCATTTGAATCTTGTTTACTTCTATAAAAATACATTTGTTATGTTAAAAAAATTACAATAATACGAGATTGAAAATACGACCTAAAATGATAAATAGTTTCTTTCTTTTTACAATAAAAAAAAAATTGTATACATTATTAAACAAAAAAAAAATTTTAAACGCAATTCAATTTTTTGTTTACATCTAATTTAATTTGAAATGTAAACAACAAATTTAAATACCACCTACAAATACAAAAAAACATCCTGAGGTATCGGGCCATTTTTATAATTACTTTCCGTTTCCTCAAAATGTTACGAAACTAATTTTTAAAATAATATGAAATAATATAACATTAAATATTTAAATTGTGCATTGAGAGTAAAAATTTAAAAGAAAGAAACAAAAGAAAATTATTCTTTTCAAAAACATGTGTGATGACATCATGAAAGTGATAAGGTTATGTTCATCATCAGCAAATAAAAACAAAAACAATCGAAACACCAAGTAAATAATAATAAAAACAAACTCACACTGACGATGTAATTAATGTTCGTAAATTGTTTACATCATCTTTAGTGTAATTTTCCAAAGAATCATTGTGAATTTCATTATTTAAAATTACAGATGCTGTGTACCATAACCTCGAAATAATGCACTTGTCAATATCCAAGATTTCAAATTGTTTTGACATTTTTCCTTAATACTCAGGGGAAATAAAATTGTTTGTAAAAAAATAACACACATAACTCATTGAAAATTGTATTTGTTTTTTTTTAAATTAAAAAATTTGCCACAATTTTTTAAAGAAAATACGTGTGAATAAAAATGTATTTGGAAAAATTGACTGTTCTGAGAGAGAGCAACAGAAAATGTGCACTTTTGTTGACAATAATGCATATTTCTACTGTTGTGGAACGCACCCTATAAATTGAGCCTTGCACTCTCTTGTATCTTGTGTTATGCATTATTATGCACACGTGTGTCAAAAGTATTATAACTTTGTTTTTATTATCCCTGTTTTTAATAATGTTAATTTAAATAAATAAAAATAACAATAATAATAATAGTAATAATAAAAATAAAAATAAAAAGAAAAAAAAATAATAATAATAATAATAATAATAATAATAGTAGTAATAATAATAGTAATATATATATATACTAATAACGGTAATTTAAAATAATTTAATTAAAAATAATAATAATAATAATAATAATAATAATAATAATAATAATAAACAAATAATTATGATAGCAATAATAATAATATTATTCAAGAAATTTCTAGCGCTATTCATTTTCTGATAAATAGGAAATAAAACAGTATAAACAAAACTGCATTGGAATTCCAAGGTCTTCTTTGTTATTGTTTCCATATATGACCATTTTCTTATCATTTTTCTTCCTATTATTATGATTATGATCAATATAATATTATTTTCATTATTATTATTATAGTTCATTATTAATACTATTATTATTATTATTTTCATTATTATAGTTTATTATTAATACTATTATTATTTTTATTATTATTATTATTTTTATTATTATTATCATTTTTATTATTATCACTACTAATTTTATTATTATTAATAATTAAGAAATTTATTAATTAATTAATGAATTTAATAATTAATTAATACTTTTAAATTTTGAACTATTTTATTTAATTTTAAACAGATTTGTTGTCGCATTTTTAAAAATTATTTAAAATGTTTTTTTAATTATTTTTAAAAATGCGACTTTTTTTAACTTATTTTCAAAAATTAGGACTTTTTCGATTTTTCTTTCAAATCTTTGCAACAAAAATACCACATTTTTAGTATAAAAATTCTACCGCGCAACATATTTCGATTTTTACAGTGTTATAAAAATAACTATAGACAAATCTTTGAAAATTATAGGTATTTTTGAATAATTTTTTTACGATAATAAAATTTTTAAAATATATACGTATAGGTAAAAAAATTTAGAATGATTAAAATTTTGTAAAATTTAATTGGAAATAATTTATTTTTTTCAAGTATTTTTATTACAATTTTTGAAAATCAACTTTTAAAGAATTTTTATTGCAAATTTTGAAAATAATTGAATTTTTGCGAAGAATTTTATTAAAATTGTATTACTTGTGAAAATAATTGAATTCTTATTAAGATAATTGAATTATTGTGTCAAAGAATTCTATTTAAATTTTTGAAAATAAATATTTTGCAGAGAAAAATTTTATTATTTGTGAAAATAATTGAATTTCAGGCAAAAAGTTTATTATTTATGAAAATAATTAAATTTTAGACAAGTTTTGTGTCACAATTGTTTTAAAACATTGAATTTCTACAAAGAATTTAATTATTTATGAAAATAATGCAATTTCTGACAATAATTAAATTAAAATTTTATTATTTAAAAAAAAAATTGAATTCTTATGAAAATAATTGAATTTCTGCAAAGAATTGTATTATCTGTGAAAATAATTTAATTCTTGCCAAGAAATTGTTTAAAATTCCTGAAAGTAATTGAATTTCTGCAAAGAATTTTTATTATTTGTGAAAATAATTTATTTCTCGTCAAGAAATTTTAAATAATTTACGAAAATAATTTATTTCTTGGCTAGGATTTTATTTAAGTTTTCGAAAATAATTGAATTTCTGCAAAATTTTTTTATTATTAGTGAAAATAATTAAATTGTTTTCAAGAGGTTTTTTTTTAAATTTCTTAAAAATTAAATTCTTTCTAGAAATTTAATTATTATTATTATAGAATTTATTTCTTGATGCTACAAATAATGTTTTACATCTCTTACAGCCTTAAACATCTCTTACAGCCTTAATCTAAAAATTTAATTTTTTTGAACAATTTTTGAAAATAATTGAATTTCTGCTAATTTTTTAACATTCAATTATTTTTAATATTTTCAATTACATATTTCGGAAAATTCAAATACATAGGTGTACAATAAAAATAATATTGAAATTTTGTAGAATATCGTTTTTCATCTTTCGCTGGTCCGAAAACAATTTGAGGGAAATCTACTGCATTCACTGTTTCCGCTAGTCAAGATGTTATTCTTCGAAGTCACAATAAAGGAGGGTATCGCTTATGCTAAGTCTACAACAACAATAACTTTAAAAGGTAAATTCTTTTTGATTCCACAAAATTATAATTTTGTTTTAGTGTATCTAAAGACATCTGGATCTATTTTTTCTCTCTCATTCTAATTGTCAAGGATTCAAATAAAAACTTTAATAATTTAAACAGAGCCTTCCGCTTTGTGAATAAATCAGGTATGAATGTACCGATACCGGACAATTTAAATATAAATAATTTGGGATATGTTTAGTGTCCTTCTGAGACAACTATCATTTTCCTGGTAAATTTAAAAATTTCTCCCTAATCGTGTTTTGTGGCAATATCGAAAACTCTTCTCTCCCTGTTTCTGTAGAAATGAATTAGCAACTCTCCGAAAAATGCAATAATTGAAAGCACATAGCTGAAGCAAAGAATCCAAATTAGTGAGTCCAATAGAGTTGATTGATCTTGCATGAGACTGATTTCTGTTGTTTTTGTTTTCACCGACGTGAATAATTCTCCGAACCATTTTTCCTTGATACCAGTTTGAGTGAGACGATTCATGTTCTTCTCGAAACGAAAACCACTGGGAAAATTGGGTTCCATCATTATTGTTTTTGGTGTTTCCATAAAAACTTCAGGTACTATTTTTACCATTGCAAAACCATCGCTAGTGATATATTGAGAGACAGCAATTTTTGCGATTAATTCTTTGAGAATACAGGTGACATTCTTATGTATTGCAACCATTCGTATGCAATTTTGTTCATTTGAGAAAATACGTGTTTTTTGCAATAAATCCTCGATTAGTTTATCATTGTCAAGGGCAGCTGCGGCCTCAATACCATTTACACTGAAAAATACAGTGAGATCCGATTTATTCACATCGTTTAGATTTGAGAGGGCATTTTCTGTTTGTACCATTATTTCGATGTCAGTCAACAGGGAAAATACTTCTGACGAAAGAAGCGTAAAGCCGAGAAAAGTGAATGGAAAGAGAATTCGATCTAAACTGTTTTTTGGATCTCTTGAAATGCCAATACCAAGGAGCATTTGAAAAATGCTGAAAAAACTCCAAAATTTGGGGTCGACGGGTAGAATTTTGACGGAGATGCAGAGGAATATTATCAGACATGTTGTTAGTGAGAATAAAATTAGAGATGTTGTTATTGAGAAGGATTTGTTCGATGTTCTTGTAATTGGTACGAGCATGAAGTAACGGAGGTTTTCGTTTTCGAAGGCAAAAGTGTTGGCGTAGATATTGTCGCAGCCGGACGGAATTATTAGAGATGTGGTGAAAAAATGGAATTCGTTATGATAGAGTTTGTAAAGTATACCAGTGGATTTATTCCGTTGACAGGAAGCTCTACCTAGTTGAATTTTTGGATAGGAAACTTCGGAAACGACGAAATTTTGTATTTTTGCTAGAATTTGACGAAGGTTTACCTGCAGTCCGGATAGTTTGATGGTATGACCGGAGGAATTTTTTTGGAGATTGACGTACGGCCAACTGTGCGATGAGGAAACTTTCATCTCGAATTTCTCTAGATTATCCAATTTGTTGGGGAATATTATTTCCCTGGCGGAGAATTTCTTTCGGGTATAAATTTTTTTGTAGGGATTAAAACGATGCATTGTTAGATATTCTTCTCGACTTGGAAATTCTTTCCGAATTAGATTCGTTTTCGAATTCCAAGTGGAATTTGATGGCGAAATCTCCATCAGTTCTAGAATTGTTAGGTCCAGTATTCTTTTGGACCAGGCGAAATGAAGTAATTTCTCCGAATTTATTCTTCCTTGCTGGAGGATTAACAAACAACGGGGATGAATTGCCCCTCCGGAAATTTCTGCCATGTACTCTAAAGTTTCCTTTGGATCTGTCTCTTCTGACAGAATTATTAAAAATCGAGTCGTTATTTGAATACTTCTAGAAGATGCAAACCTTTGAACAAACTCTGGTTTAGTTTCGAGAAAATTGATCAATTTTAATGAAACCTTTGCTGCTATGCTCTGCAAAACTTGTTGGAGAATGTTGTCATTTGCCATCCCGTCAATCATCACTATTGTCTGGAATGTGTCGAATTCTCGTTTCCATATCGTGTCAAGAATCTGCACCCATTTTCTCGTTTTGGTTCTCTCTTCCCTACTGATCGCTAATGTGAACAGGAGGATTAAAAATCTGATTAAAGGATAATTTCTCATATACATTTTTGAAAAAATTTTCTTGGAATAATTTTGGTATTCAGTAAGAATAACTAGAAGCAAGTTTTTCTATTTTGTAAGCTGCTGTCTTCGGTTTGTTGTGAAGTTTTCCATTCGCTAGGCAACTGCATAAATATTTAATACAGATACATAACTGTATCATTATATTGTTTACAGCAAACATTGAAGGCAGCGAAGTTCATATATTGTCGAGCAATTGCAGGAACATAGTAATTTTCGAAACAATTTTTGCAACTAGTTTTAGGTCCAACAAATATCGTGAGTTTGGAATCCATTCCGCTGGTTTAGGTAAGAAACCCATAAGATTTCGACAAAGAATACAACTACCGACGTTGCATAACCAAACAATAGGATCCAAAGCAAAATTACCAATAGACTGTATTGATCCTGCACGAAACTGATATCTGCCGATATTGTCGTAGCCAACAAGAAACCGTCATTAATCCATTTTAATTTGAGACCCGTCTGAGTAATGCGATTCATATTTTTCTCTAAACGAAAAGCACTGGGGAAATTTGGTTCCATCATTAATGCTCTCGGTGTTTTCAAAAATGCCTCAGGTATTA